ATTGGAGTTTTTGGGAGGCGTGATTAGCGGAAGTGATGGCGGGGGAGCGGGTGTTCGAGAGGTAGGTGAAGGCGTAGGGCGCGACAACAACAGGTGGGATTAGGAGGCGGTCGGTTAGGGAGAGGCGGGACCAGGTTTCGCGGATGAAGAGGAAGGCGGAGATGGTTGTGAGGCCCAGAAAGAAGATCTGGTGAGTTGATTAGTTTGGGTATATGGGCTGGTGGTGCCCTGTGTAGCCGACATCTGCTGCGGAGACCGGACTTACAATGACGAGAGGGTGTTTTTCATATAGGAGATAGTGTGAGAGGAGCGCGCCAGAGGAGGAGAGTCGTCCGCCTGTCAGACGCGCATCGAGGCGGCGGAAGAAGTTGGGCGTGTGAGTCCATATCACGCGGTGGAGGAAGCCAATTGGCGTGTGTCTTTCAACAATCAGTGGCGCGGACCTTCGAGGCTGACAACTCAAGTTACCTCAGTGCTGGGAGGCGGCCGAAGAAGGCGATAAAGGTTAGAGCAGAGACGGTGAGGACAAAAAGGGCGATGTCACGCAGGCTCCCCATTTGGTGTGAGGATGAATCTGGGGTCGAGCGTCACCGCGGGGAAAGGCGGGAGACGGTGGCCGTTGCGAGAGCCATACCTAGGTAGCTTCTGACAGAGCTTCCATGTCGCGACACTCGAACATCACTGCATAGTTTTTGCTGTAAACTGCTTCATACTCGGCCATCCATCAGCTTCAGGAGAAGAGGTGACAACTCACTCACTACCTTGAGTAGACACGTGCAAAACCGCCAGAAGCACATGATTCCGCGAAACGCGTCTTGACGCGTCAAGCTATCAGTTCTACAGCGCAGCAGCATACACGCCAGCAACACGATCACTACGGCACTATGACAGACGGTCGCGCGCGCATCACCTATGGCGACCTCGACGAGACGATCGACGTCCGCGGCAGGCTCTTCGAAGGCCTTAAGTTCTGGATCGCTCAAAGATGCCCGCTGCGGAACACGTTCGTCGATATGGTCAAGAACAATGGCGGTGTAGTAGTACCGCTTGAGAAACTCGCCGACTACCTCATCGTAGACCATGCGCGTAAGGATACACCGCCGGGAGGCATCTCGTACCGCTTCATTGAGCAATCCATCAAGGAAGGCAGGCTGGAAGACCCCGAAACACATCTTGTGGGACAGCCAGTAGGCACCGTTCGCGCTGTCGGCTCAGTGCAGCCGAAGAAGGGCGGGAGGACCCCGTACACCCAGGCGGACGATCTGGAGCTGTACAGGTGGGTCAAGGGGTGTGAACGGCAGGGCTGTAGTGTTCTTGGCAATGAGATATACAAGCAGCTCGAGGAAAAAGTACGTGAGTTCTCGCGCCAAAACTGCAAAGAGGGCTCCGCTAACTCGAAGGAAGAACCCGCGGCACCCGTGGCAATCCTGGCGTGATCGGTTCGTCAAGTATCTTCAACACAGGGCGCCGGTTGGTTATTCTCCTCAGGATGATGATGCAGCTTCCGACGAGGCAGTGCCTACACAGAGGCGCCTTCGTGAAGTAAATGAGCGCACCAATACTCGTATACCAAATGGAAGATCAGATGCGGCCAATCCGACTCGGTCACGTGTTCAACCGAGGGAAGAAGGTGATATGGAGCATCAAGTCGGACGACCACGCAGACCTGCTCCTCATGGCAGAGCTGCTCCACCTCAATTTACGGCAGTGGACTTCCATGAGATTTTGAAGGGTGCCCGGGAGATCCAGGACACTTCATTTGAACATTACGAAGCCGCGTGGGATGCCTGGGCGGGAGCATCAAGACCCGGAATCACCGCATCGCAGTGGCGCGCGTTCTACGAGAAGAAGGTCCTACCTGTGTACAAGGTGGTAAGGGGCAACACCCGACGTATTCGGCTCTACAATGAGTCGGCCACGGCCTGGACAAAGTTGTTTCCAGACGGCACCGCAGATGAGTGGTTGGATTACTATTACAAAAGGGTTCTACCCCGGCTTGAAGGGCTAAAGGACTCTGGCAAGACGCCGATCGAAGACAATGTTGGCAGCCAAAGTCCTGAGAGACCTGGCGCCATCGACCGGTCGCCTTCAATAAGTCCGCCAACGGAAGCTGTGCCAAGGAGAGCGCCACCAAAAGAAGCTCCGCTAAAAGAGGCTCTGCCGAGAGAGGCTCCGCCTAGTGAAGCTCCGTCGACTCAAACTCTCCTACAAGAATCTCCGCCAATAGTGACTCCGCCAACAGTGACTCCGCCAGAAAAGACTCCCCTAAAGGAAGCTCTGCCAAAAGAAACTCGGTTCACAAAAGACCTGCCTGAAAAACCTTCGCCAAAGGAAAATCTGCCAAAAGTAGCCCCACCAAAGATATCTTCTCGAAGAGGAACACTGCCAGCGGAAGCTCCGCCGAAAAGTGACCCGGCACAACCGATCCCGTCAAAACAAACCCTGCCAAGCGGAGCTCCGCAAAGGGAGCTAGAGCCTCCTGCCCCAGTCCGAATGAATGGTACTCATCGGCGCATGAGTCCTTCTGTCGTTATACCTCTGCGGTCAAACCCTCATATCAAACCACAGCAATCACCTCTTTTCGTATCTGATGACGTGTCAGCAGCTGAAGAGTCTGACACAGGCAAACCGCGACCGATGGCTAGGGCTCATGAGTTCTTCGCAGTACAATACGAAGAACGCACCAAGGAAGCGCACCCAGGTGCCGACCGTGTTACTCTTTCAAAGATCCTGCTTGAGCAGTACAAGACTCTTCCAGCGGAGCACAAAGCTGCCTACATGTCCATGGAAGCACAGGATACGGTACGGTGGGAGAGGGAAGTCGCTGCACACCGAGCAGTAAGTGCCACGATATGTCTAGCCGGTGCGCCTCTGCTGATGTTGTCTAGTCGAAAAAACGAGTACGCGAAAGCAGCGAGATCGCAGAGTCTCCGGCCATGCCAAGAGTGACGCCTAACGGCAAGCGGCGCCGCCTTAGCAAAGAGGACTTGGCCCAGCTGGACGGCCATATAAGCGACCAAGTCACGCCGAACAAGACCACCGCGCGGCAGGCCATAGAGCTGTCCGAAGACGGGGAAGATAAGGAAGGATATAGCTCGGATGATACTCAGATACCAGAAACTCTTGAGCCGGTGTTCACAGAGCAAGCACAGCTTTCCATCGAAGATGACGAGACGTTGCCTGAGGGCTTCCCACCGGCGGGAGTCTACACGCATGATGAAGATGAGGTGGAGCGGCTAGTTGCCATGAACGACACCGACGAGATTGTCGAAGACACAGAGGCCGCGCCCAACGTGTACAGCTCTGATGTCGAGGGTGACCAGAGGGCGATGCCCATGGAGACGATAAATGAGTGGCTAGTAGAGGATGAAGCTGCATTACGCGAAAGGCGGGTTGAAGTACTGAAGGAACGCCTACCTATTGGGACGATCAACCAGATGGGACAGCAGACAGGAGAGGCAGACGATGAAACCGACGAGGACGAAGAAGAAGAGGGAGAGGCCCTGGGCCGTCCTGCCTCCCCCACGCTCTCCCTCCTCGCCGAACCGACTAGACCTCGCGAGAAGCGCGAACACAAAATTTACCTTCCTTCACCGCTACCTCTCACCTCCTCGCCACCACCAGGACCCCAAAGCACCACCCACTCACCTGCCGCTCGCCGACATAAGGCCCATCAACCCCCATCCTCCCCTCCAGACCCAACGCCCCTAAATTCAAATCCGCCAACCACAGGACACCTTCGACCACCAGCCCGCTCACGCCTCCACCACAACCGCGGCCCCTCATCCCCCCCAGACCCAACCCCTTTCGACGCGCCTCAAACACAATCAGCCCCATCTAGCGCTCGCCCACAAAGTCCACCTACCAAGCCGCTAGAAGGCCCAGCCGTAACCGCGCACATCGACGCACTCGTCTCCGCCGGCCACGACGAGGAGCAGGTCCTCGCGTCTCTCTACCACGGCAGTACGAATCCACGGCTCGCGGCTGTTGTGCTGGCCTCTATAGAAGCGGGAGAGGGGGTGCCGGACGACGTGCCAGGTGTTTGGACCGATGAAGATGATGCGGCTGTGGGTGAGGTGGTTGTTGCGGCTGGGCCGAGTGGAGGCGGGGGCGGCCTCAGTGAAGTGGCGTGGAGGCTGGTGGAGAAGCATGGGCAACGGCGGTGTTGGGAGAGGGTGGGGTTTTTGAAGCATTGGAAAGGCGAGGTAGAAAGCCAGGCGGAGGGTCAGAGGTGAGTTGGACAGGGGAAGGGGTATTACGTTCTGTCGCTTGGGGCGAAGTGCTCCATCAGCACGGTTGCGCTTTCGCTGGGCTAAGTCTTGCGTATGGGGCGCTTCACTGGCTTCACATATTTCGATATAGGTTTGATTCAGTCATATAGCTAAGTTCACCATGGCCAGTCGAACCTTCAAGCGTTTGTATCAACGTCTTACAAGCTAACCACACCCATTGACGTTTTCTGAGCTGTCCTCGCCCCTTCGGGCAGTCCTTCCTCAAGATCAGAGCAGAGGAGCCCATCTGGCTCAACACAGTTGTTAGTAACCTTAGGTTACCCACATCGATGGCATAAACCATCGTTCATGGTCACGTGCCGGCAAACTGGAGCGGCTGACATCGGCACCCTGCATCGGAGCGGCACGGCTGCTTGCTGCTTGCGTGCATGGTGGGCCAAGGGCGGATTGAAATGAAGGTGGCCGCAATACACGTGATATGGGCTAAGAGCGCGGCCACCCTCGTTTCAGCCCGCCCTTGGGCGTTTGCGCGTTTGCGCGTCCGAGACTGCTTAACTTCTTGCGCTACAATGCGTTTGCCTCGTAGAGAAGACGAGCGCTTGATTGTGGCAGTCAAGGCCAAGTCAGCGTGCTCAACAGCTTACGCGTACGGAGTACTCGAGTGCAGTCGGCAAGGCAAGGATGAGATTCGTGCGCCGTGATCTTAGGTACGCGACGCACGATCGCTGTCAGGGCGCCGCGTCTTCCGGCTCGCGTCAGCTCCCGTTCTGGACGTCCATGGCTGCCAACTGACAGGCAGGCGGTCGTGTGCGGCAAACTCCCGTCCCTTCTCAATTCTTGAGGGGGAGCTTACGAAGTAGTACTCCGTATGTCTGAGCATCCCCCAGCCCAGCTCATAGAAGCATGATGGTGAGCAAACCGCCAGGCTTCGCAAGGATCGCTTTGCCGCGGCGCCACTTTCAGGATTCAAGATGCTCTAGTAGCAAAAACACCTGGCAGCCATGCCGTGCTAATAATAAGCAAGGCCGCCAACGTCATCACAATCTTGAACCCTTATCCCTTTCCGCGCTTCCGGAACCGCGATGAAACAGCGTCTGAGTAGAGCCCTCCCTTCGTTCGGTGCATTGATATACTAGGCTGTGCGCCATCTCGTACTGTTACAGAGCACTTTCTGGGAACTGTCCCGATTAACTTATCCAGCATATTTACTCCCTTTAGCCATGAAGTTCGAAACACCAGTCGGTCGCCTATTGCGGGTTTCTGCTGTGCTCGCTGCCGCTTCAGGTAATCTTACCTCGTGTTTGTTCCTAGCCTGGATGGCTAACACTGAACGCCTACAGCAAGCGTTGTCATTCCTCGAGATGCATCCTTAGAACGGGACCTTGCCCTCAACCTCGCCGTACCGTTAGACATAGTGAAAAGAGCGGCGCCCCAGGCCCCCAGTGGCTACACCCCCGGACGAGTCGATTGTCCCTCGGAGCGCCCTATCCTAAGAGATGCCTCGGCCCTGTCGCAGCAGGAGACAACATGGCTCGAGTCGCGTCGAAGCAACACCGTTGGCCCGATGCGCGATCTGCTGAGCAGATTGAATATTACCGGCCTCGACACGAACGCCTACATCGACAACAATGCCAACAACGCGACAGCGTTACCGAACATCGGCGTAGCTTGTTCTGGTGGTGGATATCGAGCGCTGATGAATGGGGCCGGTGCACTTGCAGCGTTCGACAGCCGAACTCCTAATTCCACATCAGTCGGCCATCTCGGTGGTCTACTCCAGTCCGCGACATACCTCAGCGGGCTCTCTGGCGGCGGCTGGCTTGTTGGCAGCTTGTACACCAACAACTTCACCTCCGTACAGTCTGTCATCGACACGAACCCCGACATCTCCGGCTCCCTCTGGCAGTTTGAAAATTCAATCTTCGTGGGCCCGGACACTGGCCGGATCCAGTTGCTCTCATCCGCCCAGTACTACGACGACCTTTACGATACTGTAAACGCAAAAGCTGATGCTGGCTTCAACACCTCGATTACCGATTACTGGGGCCGTGGTCTGTCCTACCAGCTGGTCAACGCCTCAGAAGGCGGCCCAGGGCACACCTTTTCATCTATCGTCGACGATGAGCAATTCTCTAGTGCTAATGCGCCAATGCCGATTCTTATTGCCGATGGCCGTGCTCCGGGAGAGACTCTCATCTCCGGCAACACGACTGTGTACGAGTTCAACCCTTGGGAGTTGGGTTCCTTCGATCCCACTGTCTTTGGGTTTGCGCCGCTGCGCTACGTCGGCTCCAATTTTTCCCAAGGCCTTCTTCCGGACAATGAGACGTGCATCCGAGGTTTCGACAACGTCGGATACGTCATGGGAACTTCTTCTACCCTCTTCAACCAATTCATACTCCAAATCAATAACACCGAGGCGCCGGATGTCCTGAAAAATGTGCTTGAGGATGTACTCGTAGGCATTGGACAAGACAACAACGACATTGCGGATTGGTCCCCCAACCCCTTCTTCCTGTACCACCCCGAAACGAATCTCAACGCCCAAAGCAAGCGCCTGACGCTCGTCGACGGCGGCGAGGACCTCCAGAACATCCCGCTTCATCCCCTTATCCAGCCCCTCCGTGCGGTCGATGTCATCTTCGCCGTCGACTCCTCTGCCGACACCTTGGAGCCCGGTGCAGGCTGGCCTAACGGCACGGCGCTCGTCGCCACTTACCAGCGCTCCCTAAACGCCGCGCAACAGAACGGCACTGCTTTCCCCGCTATCCCAGACCAAAACACGTTCGTCAACCTAGGGCTGAACAACCGTCCGACCTTCTTCGGCTGCGATACCGCCAACCTAACCGGCCCGGCCCCAATCGTCGTCTACCTCCCCAACGCGCCTTACATCTACAACTCGAACGTCAGCACCTTTACCCCCTCGCACAACCTCAGCGAGCGCAACGCGATTATCAGCAACGGATATCACGTCGCGACGATGGGTAATGCGAGCCGGGACGCCATGTGGCCAACGTGCGTGGGCTGCGCGATTTTGTCGCGGAGTTTGGATCGCACGGGCACGCCGGTGCCGGAGGTGTGCAGGCAGTGCTTCCAGACGTACTGCTGGGACGGGACGATGAACTCGACGCAGCCGGTGCCGTATCAGCCGGAGCCGATCATGGCGGCGCTGGCGTTGAGTGGTGCTGTCGGGCAGATGGTGCCGCGTGTGCTGGCTTTGGCTGTCTCGGTGCTTGTGGGGATGATGCTGGTTTCTTAGGCGTTGTACTTGGACGGTTCTTCTGGGTTGATGTAGCAAGGTGGGCGGCGTTCGTGGGGTTGCACGTCCCACCAGGATCCTTTTGGACAGTTTTTGGGGTGTTGGATGGAGTCGGCGTACTTTAAAGTGTAACGTAGATATAGTTGGCCTGCTGAGTAGCGTCAAAAAGCACCGAATAGCGTAAGCGACTCATGCTGGAGTACTTCTCCTACAGACATGCTAAAGGCAGGCCATTGGGTAAAACACCTAAGTACCTATAGGTAGGTAGCCTCTGACAGTGGCCCAGCGCATCCGTGACATGGTGCCTTTGACGCGCGACGTCACACCGATAATAAGCGGCCATGTGGCAGCACCTGCAGCGCCTGCAGCATGGATATCACGCCACAATGCCATGTTCGACTTCGGATTAAAGTCCTGCAGCCACCCGCGTTATCTCAGGAAATAGAAAATGGAGGCCTGAGCAGTTACACCGTTGTCCGCAATGTCCCCAGCCGAGAACCACGGCCGCCCACCGCACATCCTCGTGGCGTCAGCATGTCCCGTACCACTCGACCTTGAAGTCAATATCAAAGAGCGGCTCCTCGAGCTCGGCAACGTCTCCTTGAAGTTCATCACCAATGCCGTCACCTGCTCCGGCAATGACATCTGGCCCACCATAACGCACTTCAGGGCCGGACGGCAGTGCAGACCTCTGTATCGCCTCAAAGACGCCAAACATGTCCAGTACGAGGCGGCCGAGCTCTGCGCATGGGCGGACATGCTCATACTCGCTCCCATCGACGCGGACAACCTCGCCGCCATGCTGCAGGGCCGGGCAAACAACATGGTGCTGGAGATCATAAGAAGCTGGGATGTTTCAAAGAAGATGTTCCTCGTGCCGGGCATGTCGTGCTCGATGTGGGAGAACCCAATGACGAAGAAGCAGCTGAGCAAGCTGCGCAGGAAGTGGAACTGGGTCCAGGTCATGCAGCCGCAGCTGTGGACCTTTGAGTCAAATCTCGTCAAGCCGGTGCCGTTCGATGGGCTGGAGGAAGTCGTCGAGGCGGTGCAGAACCAGATCGACTTGATGACCATCGGGCATGACATTGTTCCTCCTGTAGCCTGCTCGTCTCAGCTTGCAGGGTCGTCGCGAAGTACGGCGCGAAACCTGCCGCCGGAGCTGTGGTCTATGGTCCTGGACTTCACGGGCGACTGGGAGCTTGCGAAGGCACTTGGCGTCTTCACAACTCTTCCGGCGCCACCAGAATGGCGGCAAGCCAGCAGCAAGGAGGGACCGCAAACGCTTATGCAGAAGATCGAGTGGGCAGTACTAACGGGCACGCTCGACGAGCTCAAAGCGCTCCTAGACACCGGCCCGGTCCCACGCTGGCTCTCGCGGTCCTGCGTCCAAGTCCTCATGCGCTTCGCCATGATCCCTCACCTGACCTATCTAGAGACTTACCACAAAGATCTCTTCTGGGCGACATTCGGCCACTCCTTCCTCCCCGACAAGTCCTCCTCCGTCTTCGGCAAGATCGAGCTCCTCGACTACTGGCACACCTCGCCCTCCTTCCTCGCTAAAGAATACACGGCCGAAGCCCTCGACGGCGCCAGCAAGGCCGGCTTCGCACACGTGCTAGACTGGTGGCACAGATCCGGGCTGCCTCTCAAATACACCGAAGCAGCACTCGAGCAGGCAAGCAGCAAAGGCCACCTCGAAGTGCTCGAGTGGTGGAAGAATGCCAGCACTTCCGAGTCCGCTGACGCTTCCACCGAGGCCCACCCAAGCCGCTCCAGCACGCCCGCTGCTCGCGCCGTCGACTCGGCCCCTAAAACACACCCCCGCACCCCCCTCCGCCTCAAACCAGGCAAATCCATCTCCCTCGCAACCCAGCACGCCGACCTCCCCGTCCTGCGCTGGTGGGCGCACTCCTCAATCCCCTTCCCGCACGAAGACACCATCACGCGGCTGGCGTCGCACCACGGCTACGTCAGCGTGCTGGACTTCTGGCACGAGGTGCGGGGCGAGAAGCTCGTGTTCGATAACCAGGTGCTGGTCGGCGCGACCAAGATGGGCCATGCGGCTGTGCTGGAGTGGTGGAAGCAGAGCGGGCTCCGGGTCGAGTATAAGACGTGCGATATCGAGGAGGCGCTGGAGGATGGGGTCGAGGGGAGGAAGGGGGAGGATGTTAGGAGGTGGTGGGCGAGGAATGGGCTTAACTTGGGGGTGGGGACTAGTGAGTGGATGAGGACAAGGGTGCTTGCGAGTTAGGGGTGGATGGGGGGTCAAATGGTTGCTGTAACATATCAAGCCGACACCGAAAAACACAAGCGATGCAGCCGTCTCACGCATTGCAGCACTTGAAAGATGTCATGAGTGAACACATATTCGAGGTCAGGTATATGTTCATGTCCACGTGACATCGGGCTGCTTATCTAATGCCAAGATCCCCGGGATGCATGGAACCGTGGAAGCCGCCTCGAACTTTCCGGGGAAATCATTTGAGCCTCGAGTCCATTGCACCTCATCCTTACCCTTCTCCCTTACCCTGACCCCTTCTGCGCAGAAGTCACCTATCCTTACAACCACTTCTGCAGTGAATACGGCTTGATTGCCCACATTCACTTAGTGCCCTTCAATCTATCCTGCAGCTCTCTCGTCACCTCGGCTGTCATCTTCGTGCGGCATCCTAAACTTAACTCTAGAGCATAGCTGTACGATTTTGAGTTTGGGTATACTTGGTACGGTTGACCACGGTTTTCATTAGCGCACACTCTGCGCATACAAAAGCTCTCGCTGATCCGCGGCCACTTCTCCCCAGGATCTCTACGAAACTTCCAAACATCTCGACGACTTCCCAAAGCTTTAGAATCTCACCGGGATAATACCAGATCGTGTGCAGCATATCGACCGAGGAACACAACATGGACAGCGAGGCTTCTGCAACCACTTCCGCGCAGGCCGAGGGGGAGCTTCGTCCCGGCCAGCTCCTTGCGAAGCAGCATGCTGAGGAGGAGGCCCGCCGCCAGGCGACTGTCGAAGACGTAGTTGACGAAGAAGACATTGCCCACCCCCCACCATCAGCTACCCCGAGATCTGGAGAGCTTTCTGAGAAAGCTGCCGGGAAGAAGCCAGCGCAAGAGCTCAACACCCAGTCTGAAGAGGCCTTCCCAGCTCTGGGTGCCCCCAAGGCGCGTGCCGCCGCTGTTCCGTCGGCTTGGGGTGGAAAGTCCTCCAACGGGGTCAATGGTGGCGCCAATGGCCGTCCGGCATCCAGCAACGTCTCCTCTCGCGCATCCACGCCTGCGTCTGGGATGATGACGCCGGCTTCTACGGCAGCTTCGCATACAGTGTCGCTCCCGGGTCGTCACACTGAAAGCATCGATTTTGCACCATCGCAGCTCCAACCAAGGATCCAGCTGAAGAAGCCTGTACAGGATGTCCTTCGCGACATCAATAGGGGCTCCAAGGCCCGTGTGCAAATGAAACAGGGCGCAGGTGGTCGGATCATATTCGAGGGTCAAGGTCCTGTCGAGGCTGTCCGTCAATCGCTCAAGGAGGTGGCTAAAGAGCTCGGTGCAAAGGTAAGCGCATCGCGAGTATCCGGCTGCGATTTACTAACACCTCACAGCAAAGCATCAAAGTCACTATACCAGCCTCGCTGCGCGGTCACATCGTCGGCCGAGGCGGTTCCACCATCCAAGGCATCATCAAGCGCACCGGTGCCAAGGTGCAGATGCCGAGACAGGACGACCCTTCAGCACCGGCAGATGATGACGAGAGCGCTACGATCGATGTTCTCATTGAGGGCGACGCTCTATCCGCGGAAATGGCTCGCCGAGAGGTTGAGGCGATTGTCAATGAACGCACATCCACCGTGAACATGCGCCTCAAGGAAATTCCGGCCGAGCTGTACCCTTTCCTGGCTGGTGCTCATAACTCCGACATCAAGAAGTACGAGCCTGAAGGCGTCAACATACAAATACCGCATTACCACACCTGGACTGAACAAGCGCCGAACGTTGTCGCGCGTGGCCAGCCGCTGGCCTTCCCTCCTCAAGCCAACCTCCCTATCCTCATCTCTGGCGAGCGTCAAGCTGCTCAAAAAGCGCGTGAGGAAATCGAAGCGAATGCGGAAAAGCTGAAGCGCGGATACGTCATCAACGAAGTACCAAACATCGAGCGTGGTAGGCACCAGTTCGTCGTTGGTGAGCGGGGAGGATCTCTCCATGACTTCCTCGAGGAGACTGGTTGCTCCGTGATCCTACCACCCAGTGGCGATGACAGCGAGACTATCTATGTCATCGGTCCGGAGGGAAGCATAGAGGGCGCCATCGCCAAGATCGACGACATCACATCGCAGATGTCGATGGCCAACGTCGATGTTGCTCGTCAACACGGGAACTCCCACGCTCATGCACGCGACCTTAGCAGGTATCTTAGGCAACGGCAGGCTATCGAAGAGCTGGAGAAGATGCACGACGCAAGCATAGTGCTTCCGAGCTCTGCGGATAGCACGAGTTCCTGGAATATCTACGCGCGGGAGAACAAGAATGCTATGCAAGCCCGCAAGGACGTCATGGGCGTCATCAGCGGCTTCCCCCCAAGTCGATTCGCTAGCGTAGACGTCGATCCGTTCTATCACCAACGTCTGCAGCAGCAGCGGGCTGAGCAGATTCGGCGCGAACACGGTGTACACGTCGTCTTCCCCGAAACGCATGAGGACTCTCCTCAGCTTCTCCTGGTGTTCGAGCAGCCCGGCTCGCCTTCCGAATTCGAACTTCCTCGGAAACAGCCATCCGCAGCTGAGGTCAAGGAATATCAAGCAGCCCTGGAAGAGGTCCAGAAGGCCATCCTCGCTGCCATCAACGGCCAGGACCAGATCGCCTCTCGTGACATTGAAGCTCCGCCCAAGTTCCACGACAAGATCCGCCGGTACGCCGACCGCGAACAACAGGCGATTCCCGATGATGCTTTCCCGGTCGAACTTCTCTTCGGTGGTTCACGCGCGCAACGTGGGCAGCAACCCTCTGGAAATGGCATCTCGGTCCGCGGTCCCTCATCTTCCGTTGACGACATGGCCGAAAAGCTTCTTGCTTTCATTCTTCAGGAAGAGCAGGATGAACGCGAGCGAGGCTACACTATGAGCTTCGAGTATCCGCAGAAATTCGCAAACTTCCTCATTGGCAAGCGCGGCGAGAACATCAGGAAGCTCCGGGAGGAGTTCGATGTTGAGATCCAAGTCCACGATGGCAAGGTCGATCTCAAAGGACCCCAGGCTAAATGCGAGGCAGCCAAGAAGGAGATTCTGACAATGGCTAAGCGACTAGAGGACGAAGCCACTTACGTGTTGAAGATCAAGCCGCAGTATCATCGCGATCTTATCGGCGCTCGTGGCAGCCAGGTAAACCGTTTGCAAGATCGATACAACGTGCGGGTCAACTTCCCTCGCTCAGGCCAGAACGAAGATGCAGAAGCCGAGTCAGGCGGGTCGCAGAAGAACTTCCGGGCCCAGGCGGCGGATGAGGTCATCATTAAGGGACCGAAGCGCGGCGCAGATGAGGCACGGGAAGAGCTGCTCAACCTGCTTCAGTATACCATCGATAACTCGCACTCGGCCACTGTTTCTGTTGCTCCCGATCAGATACCGTCGCTGATTGGCCAAGGTGGCCGCGAGATGGAGAACTTGCGCTTGACAACTGGCGCCCAGGTTGACGTCCCTAGTAGGGACCAGGTTGATGCCTCTGGACGTGCTGAGATCAAGATTAGGGGCACGAAGAAAGCGGTTGAAGACGCCAAGAAGATGCTCGAGGAGCGCGCCAAGGTATTCGACAACACGGTTACTCGGACCATTGAGATCGACAAGAAGCACCATAAGGCGCTCATTGGTGGTGGCGGTAAGCTTTCATTCTTCCCTACGCTTTCAAGGGCTGTAGGCGCTAACAGACATTCGTAGGCTCCAACATCCGCCAAATTGTCGTCTCAGCCGGCGGCCCCGACGACCGCCGCGAGCTCGCCCGCATGGTGCGCTTCCCCCGCCCCGAAAGCGCCGAAAACACCATCCGCGTCGAGGGCCCTACTGCGGTGGTCGACAAGATCGTCGCCGCGCTCCAAGACTCCGTCAACCAGCGCGAAAACTCCACGACGACTACCATGGACGTCGCGCCCTCGAAGCACCGGCTCCTCATCGGCCGCGGCGGCGAGATCCGGCGCTCACTCGAATCCCAATTCAACGTCACCATCGACGTGCCCAAGCAATCCGCGACCGGCGCCGCACGCACCGCCGTCAAAGTGACCGGCCAGCCGCCCGATGTCGAGAAGGCCGTCGAGCACATCAGCCAGCTCGTCAAGGACCAGGAAGGCGAGATGGTCAGTGTCCCGCGGAAATACCACCACCTCGTCGCCGACAACGGCGCCTTTTTCCGCCGCCTCCGCAACGACTTCCGCGTCACCGTCGACCACAATGGCCAGACGCCCCCCGCGCGTCCCGAGGCGCCACAGCAGCAAGGCCCACGCGGCCGCGTTGCCCAGGGAGGCGCGATGCCGCTCATCACGGACGATGCTTCTGCAGCAGCGCCTGACACGCATAGCTGGGAGCTCGTCGACGCAGCCGCCAGCCTCCCTGATGAGGACGGTGAGATCCCGTGGATACTGCGCGGGAATGCGGAGAACGTGGCCCGTGCCAGGGCGGCGCTGGAGCAGGCGCTCAAGGCTGCGCAGACGCCGAGCGTCACGGGGTATCTGATCCTGCCGGACCCGGGGCTGTATCGGTTCGTGGTGGGCCAGGGAGGCAGCACGGTTAACGGGATTAGGAAGCGCACGGGGACGAGAGTGCAGGTTCCGAAGGGCGGGAAGGGGGATGAGGCGATTGAGATTGTGGGAGAGAAGAAAGGGGTGGAGGAGGCGAGGGATTTGATTTTGGAGGCGGTGAGGAACGGGAGTCGTTAGGGGTGTGAGAAAGGCGGCTTAGAGGGAGAACTGGTGGTGAGGGGGCCCTTCCTGCGTCTTCTAGCGGTCTCGCGGGATGTTGCAGAGGCGCTTGATTATTATTTGCTGTGGCTGTAGAGTATCAAAAAATGCATAGGACAGGTCTGGTCATATTACTTCTTGCTTCTTGCTTCCTATGTGCAGTGATCTTTTAGCCGTACGTACTCGTAGCCTCAGTTGGGATGGGAAGCAGACTAACTGCTTGGGCTAGGTCTGCTGCCTATCATTGTCCGCAAATGCAGTGAGTCCCGGTACCACGCGAAGCGTTGCAAAACTACTGTAGATGATTCAGGCTTCCGTTTCCTTGGACCAAGTCCATAGCTGAACTTGCGGACGGCCTGTGATCTGAGAACAGGGGAATTACGAAGATTCGCCTGGAGCGACATCAGAACGCCGACGTTCCAACCGTAGGGCCTGGCCTCATTGCCGTGCATCGGTGTAATGCGTGTGGACCAACGAGAAACGACAAGTTCGCGATGACGTTCAGTCTTTCAATCGTCCAGCTCCTCGAAACGACCCTCATCTCTGGCCTGTTCAACCGGGTTCTTCACATCGATAACACCGGTCTTCTTGAGCCTGTGACACGCGTCGTTAGTGGTTGTACCCTTGTGAGACGACGCTAGCACACACCGTTCAAAAAGCACAAACAGCCTCTCCGCCTCCCTCTCCTTCTCCTCCTCCGTCATCGGCGGTCCCGCATCCGGCGCCTCAGCATCGAGTCTCTGCCCCGTGACCGGATTAACAGGCACGTCCGCCGAGCCGCTTCCCACCTCCGCCTCCACCGCGTTCTCCGGCACGGCGATGTTGTTGCTCATGAGGAAGCCGGATGCGAAGCCGTACCCGACGTTCTTCACGAATGTCGCGGCGTCTTTGCCGGAGAGCTCGAACAGCAGAGACGAGATGTTGCCGCGGAGCGCAGGCGTTGGCGCTGAGGTCGACAGGTTGAGCAGGCGCGAGGGGAGGGTGTCGGATTTGCCGAGCGGCTTGTTGCGCTCGGCGTCGCTGGGGAGGAGGAGGGATTGCGTGTAGTGCTGCACGTCCTCGGGGGCGATCTCGTAGATGCGGCGGATTAGAGTGAGGAGGGGTGTGATCACCTGATCGAGCTCGGATTGCGGGTATTGCGCTATTGCTTTGTATAGGATGTTTATGATGTGTTCTGCGTTGCACTTTGGGTCGGTTTCGGGGAAGAGCGGGTTTGTGCTGAGGATTTGGCTCTTTGTGCCGTCTAGGTCGAGGTTGAGAAGGGCGTTGATGAGGTAGTTTATTGGGGGTTGTAGGGGGGGACGAGGTATCTCCGACTGGCAGAGTATCTTTAGCAAGAAGGGTAGCGATGGTGAAAATGATCCTGCTAGATCCGGATTGAAGTGGGTGATGTTGAACATCAGCTTGAGCGTTTCTGATAGTGCCATGTCGTCCATTGGCGCTGGTTGCGAGGCACCCTGGAGCCCCTTCGGGAAGCGCTTCGCATGCCTTGCGATGTTCTCATTGATGCTATCGGCGAGCTGGTGTTGCTCTACCAGACCCTCGAAATTTAGATCCGTCTCATATGTTAGCAAAAAGAGTATGCGTGATACTAGGAATTCGTCATCTCGATTGTCAGTCTGTGTAGTGTCAGTATCTTCGTCTGTACGTTTATGCTGATGATGTACTCACTTTGAGCCTCTCGGCTGCTTTCTTCGCGTATCCCAAGTCTACGAATATCTGCCGGGTCTGCGGCTGCAATAGCAACGCATTGGCCAAGCAGCGGAGCGCTTCTCGAGATGTCGCCAGTGAGGAGGAGTCGAAGCCATGCTGCGCGAGTGTTTGAATGCCCTGTCATGCTCACCATGAGTAGATTGAACAACGTGCAGTATACAGATCCCGTGGCACACCTCTTTCGTGAAGATCGGGTCCGCATTCTTAGGATCGCGTCCGTGTATCTTAACTTGTTCGAGCCTTGCACTGCGCTCTGAAACCTCAAGGGTCAGCGCACCGGACCTCATCGGAACTTGTATCAAGACACCGTACTCACGTGAAGGGTCCAGGTTGTTTTCTTTCGCGTCGGTACGCAGGCTTTCCATCAAGGAAGTAACTTCATCGAGCTTTGCTAGCACAACGTCAGTTCGAGCGTGGCAAATATTACGCAGAAAGATGCATTGTATCCTGGTGTACCTTGACCGCTGGTGGAAGAGCCACTACTACGTGGCTTGATACCGCTCATTGTAGATATTACAGATTCGTTAGGGTTGTTGCTCGAATGCAATCTACTGAAGCTCGACTGTAGGGCTGAAGGTTTGCAGCTTGACCTTCGCCCCTCAAGGTGGCATGCAACGAGTAGTTTAGAGTGTCCTAGATGATAGGTGTAAGCGCTGTAAGAGAGCTGAGGGACTATCTAGACGACCCGCACTTGTCTGCCGGCAAATTTCAAACCATCTGGAGCCGCACCGTATGCAACACCAAGTGTCTAAGACATGGTCCGCAGCGGATCAGCGTGGGACACTTTTGGTGAGGCGACCATGCCCGACCCTTACCCAGATCCACAGATGCACGGGCCAGCACTTAAACGCGACTTCGCGCTGCGCGTGTTTGCCGGGAGAGACGACGCTACCAAGTCTCAACCAAGTCTCATGTTCTTCTTTCACGCACGTCGCCTCACGCAATTCTTATCTCCAGCATGGCCGCGTAGCAAAACTCACGCCTAATGCATTGCAATGGTCTTGTCTCCGAGAATGCTCGCAAGCCTCCCAGCTCGACCGCCGACTCCGCCAAAGCACGACCGCAAAGTGGACAGTGGGGACGTCTCTGACGCTTTGGAGTTTCTCGAAGACAGCTTCGAAGTAGAGAATACCGCTACGTTCAGCAAGCTTCTGGCTGCTGACCTCGCCGTTGACACGCCGGAACACACCCCGTCTTCGTCGGCTGAGCCTGGGAATCTCGATTCTGGTAAAGGGAGCAAGAGGGTCGGCTTCTCTCCATGGACACGCTATCACAATTCACCCACAGGCCTCCAAGTTACACCGACGGCCAGAGAACAGAAGCCTCTCAAGTCCATCCTGAAACTGCGCACTCCTTTATCAGCCGCACAAAATACCATGTCTAGTCCGAAGAGCCGGATACTTTGCTCAGCTCGCAGGTTCAACTCCTTTGAGGAGATGCTTGAGGCTGCTGTGGATCAGTTGGGCTGGGACTCGAGGGAAGCTCGGCTCGATGCGTACATGACGCTTTTAAGGGGCCTGAAAGCATTCGCAGATACGCTTAGCGTCGCTGGCTTCCAAGAACAAATTAGCTGTCTGGCACAGTCTATCAGAAGAGATGGAAAGACCAAGAACTCCCTTACAGACCCGCTGGACGCACAGCTCTGTGGACAAGCTCTCAAGCTTTTAGCCGCGCTTCTACGGATTCCCGCTCTCGCAGCAAGCTTCAACGCTGACTTCTGCCGCTACACCGTCGAACAGTCAGTTAGCGCGCTAATGGACCCGACCACTCCGAAGTCAATCACCACAAATCTCCTGACTGTCCTTGCTTATCAGAGCTTTGGGCCGAAAATTCTCACCACAGATCGTGTAGAGAGGTTGCTCTCCGCATTACATGACCTTGATAGCCGCGTCAAAGGCAATAGTATTATTGGAGGCAGACTCTTTCTCTACCGCCGCTTAGTCGAACAGTCACGTAGCGTAATGCTGGCGAAGATGTCTGACTGGATCGAGCATGTCTTCCATGGAATGCTTAGCAGTGTTAAAGACGTCAGGACTCACGCTATCGAGACTGGTATTGTCGCAGGCACAAGTCTCGGCTCTAGCAGCAGGGCTTCGCAGGCGGTCACTGACTTGCTCGACCGAGAATCTGAGGATGGAGTGACGTACGGTGATTTCATGGCGTCGCGCCTGAAGAAGGTTCTTGACGTCAAGACGGCCAAGGGGTGTCAAGATGCAATCACAGAGGTAAGTCGCATGCAATCCTTATATGACTTCCTTTGTCCCTACCCACTGACCTTCTCAAGCAGGCATCAGACAGTCAAAGCGTTCCGAGAATATGGACCGTTGTGTTTCTTTTCCATAAAGGCAAAAGGCAACACTTGCAACATTGGCGTCCGCTGAAAACTTGGCTTGAGCTTATCCAGGCTTGCTTCAACCATTCGGATCCGCATACCAAGGCACAGGCCGTTATCGCTTGGAATCGCCTAGTGTATGTGGTTTTACCAGGTCCTTCGACTGACCGTCACCTGCTCCAAACCCTGCGACATCCGGTTGTGAGCCACCTGGAGCGTGCCAAGCATGTTCAGCGTCCCCAGAGAGCCCGAAAGGCGGCAATGTCTATATATAGCAACCTCCTCTACTACGCATTTCGTCCACAGTCTTCACGTGAGCATCTGGACCTGTGCTGGGATGAGTACGTGTTCCAAATTCTGATCAAATTGGTGAACACAAAAGAAGCCAACTTCGCATGCCAAATCCTCGCAGCTCTGCTGGGCAGTCAAGCGAGAACATGGAACGAGGAAAGGGCCACCACGGCTGCCTCAGTCACGCTTGACGAGTTACCCAGGGTTGATCCAAGCTGGGTCCGTCAACACACTGCGGCCATACTGGAACTCATTGGACCGTGCCTCAACAATGCCACTTGGGACTCAGACCCATCCGCGGAGAGCTCAGTACGGAAGCTGTGGGTATCTCTCATGGAATCCCTTGGTGAAGCTGGAAGAAAAGAAGTAAAGGCGTCAATGGAACTGAAGGAGACTATCGCACATATCATTAACCTGCTACGGCGAATCTGGACGACGTATCCAACGTCCTTAGGCGGTCACACCGCTCAAGAGACGAAGTGGGTATCGAGGTTCGAGTTTATGGTTCGAGTTGCGATTGAAAAGCTAGGTGCAATGCACTTTGCTTACAACGTGCTGGCCCGAACTTCCAGTGAGGATTTCGAGGCAGCACCCACTCCTTCCCATCGCTCTCGTCGTACCACGCTGCAGTCGCCTGTCCTACATTTGCTCAGTTTGATCTCCACTAGGTCATTTTCCGGCTTGGACGAAGTCTCCGGCCTCTCACTAACGCGTTCAATTCTGGTTCCCTGCTTAGAGGTTAAACCCACTGTACTCCAGAAGCTGGAACTTCTCAAGGAGTGTGCAACCTTGTTTTCGAATTCAGGAAAGGAAGGAGTTGAAGGTGGATCAAACCAGTGGTTATACCGACTCGCGATTGAGCTCTCAGAGTCTATCATCAAAAACAGCCAGCTACTTCCAGCTGCAGAGCAGGTCCTGCGAGCCTTGCGCGATGTTGTCGAGGTCCAGTTGGCGAGCTCACCTGACGAAGATGGACCCGCCATCGATGCAACGAAGCCACCTGCGTTGTCGCCGATACCACGCTCTGTACCACGCCTCACTGTCCCGCAGCCAGTTATGTCGTCCCCTACCCGCCGTGCGGGCTCATCTACAAGGACTGGAGTCTCACCTCGTCTCACGCCGAGAAGCCGGCTCCGTCACGAAGATTCTCAGGTTCACTTTATCGCCATAGCGTCTACTCCACCTCGAGAACCCGACTCTCAGCTACTGACCGAGCACCAGAAAGAAGTCAAGGCCAAGCAATTGGAGAGTACAGCTGCCATGTTCCGCAACATCGGCTCCAGCCCGGTGAAAAAATCTCCGGCTTCTCCGCGCACGCCGACTCGATCTTTCATAATGAGCTCAGAGGCTTCTGTGCCACGCAGGACGTGGGACGGAGCAAATACGCCCTTGGCATCTCCCCTTCCTGTAGATGCGGTCGAAGGCTTTCTTGGTTCTTCGCCAACACCGATCTCGGCCCGAAAACGTCGTCAACCACTGGATACTGGTGGCGACAGCACTGTAGCCCATGAAACGGTTGTCAACGAGCAAAACATAATTCAGGGGGCCGCACCGGGAGAACTTGAAGAAGTTGATAACGAGGGAGATCTCGGAGCATCGGAAGACCCACCGTCGTCGCCTCCGCAAATGGAGGATCTCAGTAACAACGATGACAGCATAGTGGCACGGTGTGCGGTTGCCGACGACCAAGACGAGGCTCAAGACGCCACGTCAGTAGATATTCGAGATGTTGATGGTGGTGCGCATCCTGAAGAAAACAACGAGGGTGATGACCTTGACGAGGCTACCGATGCGTTCGAAGAGAGGATAGTTGCTGTATCCAATCTTGAACCGGAGCTCGATGAACTCCCTAGTTCTGTTGCCGACGTACAATCGACTGCCCAGCTCGCTGGCGAGATGCAGGCGTACGCCAAACGAAGCCCTGCCGGAAACGATGCTACACCGGACCAGGCGACTACTCACTATGCAAAAGTAGTCCATGCTCCTCAAACCCAGCCACCGGCTTCTGGCAGCACCACCGTAGAAGTTGAGGAAGAGGACCTGGAAGATCTATATCGTTCCGCTCTGCATGTACCCGCCGGCCAACGTAGCAAGCTGCAGCAGTCATCCAACGGCAATATTAGTCGCGTGGAAAATTCCTTTGCCTACCACGGACCAACGGACGACGTCGACACCACTCGAGCCCAACGAGAACTGCTGGAACCTTCTCACGTGTCCCCAACACGCTCTTCACTGGCCAACAAAGAGACGCCACGGAACAGCAAGAAACGGAAGAGCATCACGCCATCTTCTGGCAAGAGCTCGAAGCGGCAGAAGAAGCAGTCACCACTTAAGCGGCTCTTCACATCTGCATTAAGCCAGATCACTGGCAGGCGGACTGATGAACAAGGAGACGAAGATATGCTCGATGAGATCGTCGTCGCCAGCCAGCCAGCTGACAGCATAACCTCTTGGTCATTCTCCTCAAATACCAAGTTCGAGCCAGGCATCTCACCCAAAAAGCCTATGGAGTCCCACCTCGCCCCTCCGCCCGCTTCATCTGAGCCTGGCCAAGCATCAAATCCGTCCAGCCCGACCAGCCAGCCCAGCGAACCAACCTCTAACCCAAGCAAGAAACGTCCTAGACGATCGGCGACCGCATCCGAACGTACCCCATCCGTCCTTGCAGGCAACGAGACAGTCATAGAGGACACGCCAGCGCCCCGCAAGCGGCGCCGCACGGCCTCCGTCAACAGGACGACCACCCCCCACAGGACAAGAGCGTCATCGGAAACCAGCGCCATCACCCGTTCGCTACCACGAACACTCAGCCACGTCGAGATTCCTAGCAGCCGTCCTTCGAGCCAGCTGGATACAACACGGGACAGCGACGAGCGCGATGTAGAGGAGCCAACTGAGCCTGACAGCGAGCCTGACAGCGAGCCTGACAGCGAGCCTGTCGAAGCCGCAGGGGACGGCGCTGCTGCAGGACCCGAGATCGATACAAGAAAAAAGGCCGAGCCGAAGGGCATCATAGAGAGGCTGAGGCAGATAGCGGCGGATCTACGGGATGCGATGCTAGGGTCGCAGGAGGAGCGGGAGCTTGATGATGTGTTGTTTGAGGTTAGACAGAACGTGCATGAGGCGGGACGGAGGACGCGTGGGAGATGAGTTGGTTCTTCGGTTGTTGGGTCGGGCTTTTTTTGCATGCGTCGCGAGGCTATTGGGTGGGTTCGCAGGTTGGTGGGATGGATGCATGTTACGTGGGTCTAAAGCTACTCTGCAAGCAGAGCAAGCAGAAGGGAGCCGATTACAGTGGCACTTCCCGAGGTAATCGGACTTGACTGCATCAAGAAAAAAAGAATACAGACTGTCATGCGTTTCTGAAAAACGGGTTTTATTATGGAGTATCCCTTTCTAACAATCAGGCATCAGAAACAGGACCGGCAAGCTTGCTCGGACAGCAGTAGAAGCCGACAGTAATGGGAAAAATAAAGAAGCCACGATGGCAGCGCTGTGCATGAACACTGTTTGACTTGATCGTACTCGAAGAAAACTACACCTCCTTCTCTTGTGAAAGGGCGATGAGAGGGTCATGTACAGCAAACCATTATCCGTACGAAGATCTTACTACAGAATGGCGACTGGCTAGATTACTAGATGTTGTCTGACCAACTGATTCCTTGTGTAGTGGTGCGATCTACCTTGATGTCTGCTACAGACCGCCCTCGCGCCCATTTCGAGGGCCTTGGAGGGTACATGAAGTCGTAGGTGTCAACGAAGGGCGGGCGGGCTTGTAAGGCCGTAAGGCTCGTCGAGCGCGATTAAGCGGCCCGGTCTTTCGGCTCAAACCCGGGTTAGTCAGATTCCATAGGGCAGAAGAACATCAGCCCTACCGAATTCTGGCGGTTCCGTCTCCCCGGCACCGTCGCCCCTCCAAAATCCCATCGATAAGTCACCACTTCAACCGCTATTTCTCCCACTTCTACTTCTCCCTCCCTCCCTCCGAGATCAAGCAAGCGTTCTGCTCAACAGCACCTCCCGTACACATCTGCTAGACACATACAGTTTGCCCTAGCAGAGCACTCCACCAAGACCCTTACACACAGCATGGCGACTCAACTCGCAGCCGGCCCTATGCCATCCCAGCCGGAGGGCTCCCACTCGTCCCATCCTTTCACCTGCAACACCTGTCAGGTCGCCTTCCGCTCCAGTGAACTGCAGCGCACCCATATGCAAAGCGATTGGCAGTAAGTAGTCCATGTGATTGAAGTGGCAGTCATGCTAGGACAGATTTGACTGACAGCCGCTGTCCACAGTCGATATAACCTCAAGCGTCGAGTGGCGTCGCTACCCCCACTATCCTCTGAGATCTTCGCTGAGAAGGTCCTTGCAAACAAGGCATCCGCTGCCGCCACAGCCGCGAAGGCAGCTTTCGAGAGGCCATGTGCGGCTTGCCAGAAGACATATTTCAGCGAGAACGCCTACCAGAACCATCTGAACAGCCAAAAGCACCGGATAAACGTGCTCAGACAACAGGGAGGGGGGTCAGTGACAGGCACAGACGATGAGACTGGCTCTATGATCAGCTCAACCTTTTCCCTCGGTGAGCCGATTGATACGGCATCGAACGGTCTCTCGCACGAGGCGGAGGCAGAATTCCAGGACGTGGTAGACAGCATGAAGCAGACTTCGCTGCAGGATGGAGAGCCCATCTCACGCCGCCCAACCCGGCCGCATCATTCCGCAGTCGAAGAGGACGCCCGCCCAGCTCATCCCCTTTCACCTTTAACCACTCGCAGCACCACCGCCAGCTCCCAGACCGAATCCGCAACTTCCGAGCCGAAACTTTCTTGCCTCTTCTGCAACTTCCTCTCGCCGACCTTCCCGCTGAACATCCTGCATATGCAACGTCATCATGGCATGTTCATTCCGGAACGAGAGTTTCTGGTCGATGAAGAGGGTTTGGTGGCCTATCTACACGCCAAGATCCACGAGGACCACCAATGCTTGTATTGCGGCAAGTTGAAGCACACGGCCGCCGGCATTCAGACACACATGCGGGATCGCGGCCACTGCATGATCGCCTTCAACACTGAGGAAGAGATGATCGAGATCGGCCAGTTCTACGACTTCCGCTCCACCTACTCCGACGGTGAGGGCGACGACTCAGATGCCACAAGCACCGAAGACGCCGCGGACGCACCGGCCCAAGGTGGCGTCAAACTCGGCGCTCCTCGTCGCGCCAAACTGACCGTCGAGAATCTCGACGCCTCACAGCCCGACGCCGAGATGGCGGACGGCGACAAAGACGACGAGGGTTGGGAAACAGACAGCACGCTCTCGACCGTGCCAACCGACGAGATTACCTCCGTTCCCATTGACGATCGCTCACATCTCTACGCCACGCTAGCACGAAGCAGGCACCACAGCCACACGGATCCGCGCCCGCACCGTGCAGCCGATGGCTTCCACTCTCACGCTCATGGTATGCCGCACGCCGTTTACCATGACGACCACGAGCTACATCTCCCCAGTGGTCGTGTGGCCGGACACAGGAGCTTAAACAGGTATTTCCGTCAGAACCTCCGCAGCTACGAGAGCGGTGGTGGCCCAGGTTTGCCATCCAGGCGGGCCATCGAAGCCGGCTCCTCGACCAGCGGGTCCGACGGAGAGAGGGCAGAGGATGGCGATCGAGGCAGGGGAAGAAACGCATTGATATCGAGGGCGAACGGAGGATTGGGCATGGTGGGTGTAAGTGACGCAACGAGGAGAGAGGTGACCAAAGTGGAGAAGAGGGAAAGGAAGAGGGAGCAACGGGCACAGGCGAGGTACCAGTGGGGCAACAACAAGAGGTCGAACTTCCAGGAACACTTCAGGGTGAGTAACGGATCCTGGGGACTTGCTTTTGATGGACATGAGTTGCTAACGAAAACCTTAGGATCCATTGCTGCAGTGAGCGAGATACCTGTTCCGCAACTGGATGTTCCTGGTCCATGGAGTTTGGCAGGGCCGTTTAATTCACCTTCGCTTTGCATGAGATCAGTTCCACAACGCCAGCATGATACAACAATTGCATTGGGTGGATAGAAGATCCAATAGATGGGGAAATTAATGATTGTCTGAACGGAAAAGTCTCGCTTCATGAAGCTTCACTGTGCAGCCCTTGCCGCGCCACATACGTGATTCAGTCTCAATCGAGAATCTATGTCTCGTGTTCGATCATCACTCCGAAAGCTTCCTCCCATATCGGCTCCTTCTGAACACGGTGGGCAGTGTATGGACGCCATGCGATGCAGCCGAGCAGTCGAGGCAAGATGCGTGTTTCAGATTGCTCCACATGTCGATGATCATGCCTGCTGGTGGCCGAGACATCCATTCCGCCCTCTGCCCCTCCATCGTCACAGCAACTTCAACCACCCCCCACTCCCACGCCCCAAATCTTCCTCAATTCCCCTCAACCTCCTCGAGCTTCAAGAGATTAACAGAACACCTCTCTGCTGAACCAACAACCCACTCCTACCTCAACCAACCCCCGAAACCATACACAATGGTCGACCGCCCCAAAAAGCCCACCTCCCTCAACCCCTCCGCCCGCAGCTCCGCCCCGCAACCTACGGTGGACATCTCCGACGACCGCGTAACTGCAACATTGCCAACAGGCGAGAGCGTCTCGATCTTGCTGTACGGAGCAACCGTCATCTCCTGGAAAACCGCCAGCGGCGCCGAAAATCTCTGGGTTTCCGAAAAAGCCGCCCTGGACGGCTCCAAGCCCGTCCGCGGCGGCATCCCAATCGTCTTCCCCGTCTTCGGCCCCCCGCCGAAGGAAGGCCCGACGAGCAAGCTCCCGCAACACGGCTTCGCGCGGAGCACGCGGTGGGAGTTTTTGGGGAAGAGCAGCAGCGAAGGCGAAGCGCAGGGGCAGGGCAGCGGGGATGAATCCGTGAAGTTGGATTTCGGGCTCTATGGCGCGGGGCTGGACGAGTCGGTCAAGAGCAAATGGCCGTATGAGTTTGGGCTGGTGTACAGCGTCACGCTGGGGAGGGAGGGCTTGATGACGGTGCTGAATGTGAGGAATGAGGGGGATGAGGGGTGGGAGTTTCAGATGCTATTGCATACGTATCTGCGGATTGACGTGAGATTTCCCTTTCCTGCCCCCACTCCTTCTTTCTTCTCCTCTCCGCCCCCGCACAACCTCGTTCGCTGGAGGGAGTCGCTCGTGCAGAGCCACAAGCCCAGAAGCCACACACACTAACACCCAACCCAGGACATCTCAAAGACCACAATCTCCGGCCTCGGCTCCGCAACCTACATCGACAAAGTCCTCGACGCGACCACTCACACCCAATCCACCCCGACTCTCTCCATCACCTCCGAGGTCGACCGCGTCTACACCGGGCTGAAGCAGGACACGACATCCGTGCTCGCGGACGGCAAGCCGCGCCTCGACGTCGTGCGCGACAACCTCGAGGATACCGTGGTGTGGAACCCGTGGCGGGAGAAAGCGAACGCGATGGGGGATTTTGCGCCCAAGGATGGGTACAAGCAGATGGTGTGTGTGGAGGTGGGGAGTGTAGCTGGGTGGCAGAGGTTGGAACCGGGGGAGACGTTTGAGGGGGGGATGATGATGAGGAGTTATGTTTGAGTGGGGGGCACAGGGAGGGGGCGGGGGGCACAGGGGGGGGGGGGGGGGGGGCGAATGTTGCTATGGAACTACTTAGGCCGATAGATCATAGAGGAAGGACTGAGCCCTCCTAAGAATCTGGGCTATGACTTGGGCTAAAGGAGCCTTTTCCAGACGGACTACTACCAAAATAGCTCTATAGCTAAGTGCAATAGAAATCGAGTTTCCATTTGTTGACCTCTGGGTGCATATCCCACTGCTGGACAGATAGCTCATCAGAACAAGACTGGTTTCTGCTCCTGGAATGGACCAGGGAAGATATCAAATACGGAATATGATGGCCATGGATTCGGTGTGATTCAGATTCTAACTGAATGCTGCGCGAGTCATGTGACCATGAACCTCTATCGCGTTGACCAGCGAGGGTCCCAAGGCGTCAAACACGTCAAACGCGCCTTAGCCACGCCTTCTCCGGCACCTACAGCTACTCCGACCTCGATCTAGAGGATTTGTGACGATGAATTCTTCCACGAACAGCAGCTGCCTCCATCCGCCGCCTTCTGTCTCCCTCCGACTACCCATACAGCATCCCCTAGCCGCTTCCCTCGACCGCAGAGCTCGCGCCCCGTTGGGAAGGAGACAACACAGGAGGAGTCATGGCTGTGTTTCCAATGAAGCAGACACACTCTCAGAAGAAGAATGACCAGTGCGACACTATGGAAGCGCCCGGCGCTCAGCTCATAGCCAGGCTGGGCTCCAATACTCCAGATATTCTGGTCAGCAACACCACCGTACTCAAGGATGACGACCATGTGGTAGACCGTATCCAACATGCGCGGAAGCAAACCTTCCAGGATCTCGTACAACGGCAAGCTCTCTAAACGACGGTCGTGTGTTACAACACGTACTGACTGTTGGATGCAGCTTTACGACTCAGGTCCGCCATGGATGCAACAATGAGAATTGCACCACTCCTACCTGCCTCTCCTGCCAGAAGCGCGCCTCGGGAGCTCCACTTCGAAGGCCAACCGTTCTGACAGCTCAAACGATGGCCTACCACCTAGCAAGTCAGGACAACCCGACGGCTGCGCTATGTCCGAACGAGATGAAGAATGAAGGTGCAGACTCGGCCCAGCAAACGAAAGATCGGAGGTCTCTGACCCAGAACCTCTTCGATACTGCGGCGGCAAAGGCATTGCCAATGTGGAAACCTTTCGACCCAGCGATGACCCCGTATTCTGCAGAAGACGTTGCACTGGCGGCATCGCACCTCTCCTGCGAGATCATGGAAGCTTTGAGAACGCTTATGAACGAGCACGGCCAGTCGTCAGAAGACCCATTGTCTCCTCTCCCCAGTCAGCCTATAAATCCAGGACCAGCACTGCAATACGTCAACAGGTCGCTGTTCCATGGTTTAGGCAACCCGGATGTTCTGCTGCGGTCCTTTCGCGAGAGCAGCTGGTTGACTGTTCAAACGTCTCCGCTCTCACACCTCGATCCGTCGACCCTGGAACACACGTTTAGGCCTTGGAGATCACGCAACCAGTCTCTCATCTTTAACAGCCTTTGTGCCGCGCTCGACAGTTTGTTTGTTCCGCCCCGTGGATTGAAGCTCAACCGTAATCTCCAGGCTGAGGTTGGCCGTGGTTCAAATCGGCCCGAGGAGCGGTCTCTGAAAGACCGCGACGCCGCGCATATCATCATGATCTGTGTTCACGCCTTGACTTCTTTCGTTTCGAAGAACTGGCCGGGCACCTGGATGCCGCTACGAAGAATGAGGGGCCGGGACAGAACTTATCCGGACGTGGACTTCGCACGGGAGACCGTCGGCGGTGATACCTCACACGTACGCCGCTGGACGAGAGTTGTCGATGAACTGGAAGATCCGCTTGCGCTTCGACTGGCTACTAAACTGGTACGAGCTGTCGCCGCGCGAAGGTGCCACTCGGAAATTCTGAGGAGCTCTGGAGAGAACATGTTTGACAAGTACAAACCTGATTTTAGGATGCAATTCCCATTGATGGATCTGCTTATGGATCATCTGCGAGAAGTGGAGAAAGATGCTCGGAAGCGGCAGGCGGCCTTTGAGCACCCGGAACTGGAACTCGAACATCCTACCGCTGATCCAGGGTGGACTGTCTCATCTGTCCTATTGGACTGGCTCCGGACCATTGTCCTGAAGAAGTGGGACGGCAAAGCTGAAGTAAAGCGGTGGGAGCCGGTTGGCGCTGCCATTGAGTTCATGGCTCATTTGTGTGTGTATGAACGACCACATTTCCTCCCAAATGGATCGCTGACGGACCACAGACAAACACCGCCACAGCCTTGGACTGAACACCGAGATGTTCTGCATGCCTTTTCTTGCGGATCGGCTGGATGTAGTCAAGACGCCCAATGAGTTCTTCAATCTAAAGAAGCTTGATCCCAACACTCTCCATTTGTTGTCCTACCCATACCTGTTTGTTCCTTCCCAGCTAGTCTGGTACTTCCGTACTAGAAACTACTGTATAATGGAGGAGGCGTACTCCGAGGCTTCGTATGCGAGGAATTTCATGGAGCGAATGTCATTCGTCGAAGATGGGGTCGATGACCCGCGAATAACCTACCTATCGCACCGTCTCAAAGCGGCAATGGCGCTCTATCTCGTCCTCGATGTGCGACGGAGCGAAGTACTCAGGGACGCCCTAGATCAGCTCTGGGGACGAGAAAAGCGGGAGTTGCTTCGTCCGCTCAAGGTCCGTATGGGTGCTAGCGAAGGCGAGGAGGGCGTTGACCATGGTGGCGTGTCGCAAGAATTCTTTCAGGTTGCTCTTGCTGAGGCGTTCGACCCTGATCACGGTAAATTACTCAGGGGTTCATCAGCTACATCATCGTACTGACAGGTCGCAGGTCTATTCACGGTAGATCCAATAACCCGCATGACCTGGTTCCAGCCAGCATCGCTCGAACCGCTCTACAAGTTCGAGCTCATTGGACTGTTGTTCTCCTTGGCCATCTACAACGGCATCACGCTTCCAGTCACCTTTCCCTTGGCTTTCTATAAGCTCATCCTTCACGAGCCCATAGATTCGATCGATGCCATTCGCGATGGTTGGCCCGAGCTTGCGAAAGGGCTTGAAGCATTGCTATCCTGGGACGATGGGGATGTGGGAGATGTCTTCTCCCGAACCTATGAATTCAGCTTCGAGACATACGGGCAGAAGGTGCATGTTGACATGACCTCATTCGCACGGTAAGTCCTATTGAAACTGAGGGCTACAGACTCAAGCTCCTTCGACGGGAATTCTATTCTGTCTCCGGCGCCTGCTTTCAGATGGCCTCCAATGTACAACGCTGACTCTGTCGTAGAGGGGATCCCTGGCCTGCGCGCTCCAACGAAGGTGATCGCCTCCACTCCCCCAAGATATTCAATTGCCTCGGAATGGAATTACCCCCCCTCGACAAGCCATCCTGGTCCCGCAACCACCCGGTCCCTCCTCCAGACGGCAACATCAGCCCTACCTCCCTCGTCGGCTCAATGTCCCCTGTCGCGGAAGCGCCACTCGTCACAAACGCCAACCGACACCAGTACGTTTCCGACTACATCCACTGGCTTACCGAGAAAAGCATCTCGCCCCAATTCTCTGCCTTCCGCGGCGGTCTCTCCGCCCTCATCGACGGAAACGCTCTGACTCTCCTCGACGCCCCCGCCCTCCGCCACCTCATCGAAGGCACCCAGACCCTCGACACCCGCGCCCTCGAAGCCGTGACGCTGTATGCAGACGACTATGACGCGGCTCATCCGACCATCCGAGCGTTTTGGGAGGTTGTGCATGCGTGGTCCCAATCGCGTCAAAGGCAGCTGCTGGAGTTTGTTACGGCGAGTGAGAGGGTGCCGGTGAACGGGGTCGGGAGTATTAGGTTTGAGATCTGTAGGATTGGGGAGAGTGAGATGTTGCCGCAGGCTGCGACGTGTTTTGGGAAGTTATTATTGCCGGAGTATCCCAGTAAGGAGGTGCTGGAGAGGAAGTTGGGGGTTGCGGTGGGGGAGTGCAGGGGGTTTGGGAGTTTGTAGAGGCGCGAGGAAGGCGGAGATTGGGGATTGGAAATGGGCAAAGGGGTGGCGTTCTCTTGTTGTAGTATCAGTATGGTGGTCACGGAAGAACAGAGGCCGGCGTCCTTAGATCAAGGGCGCCTGTTTGTGGAGGATGGGAGAGCCTCAATGTTCTCATAATCATGATCGGGGCGGAAGAAAAGAGAACATGTGAATGATGGCGACAAAGGCCCGTTCACAACAAGCATCCTCCGATAATTCGGGTTCAGCCATGCCACTCGCATCTGTTGTTGATGGAGCCGTCTCGGTGATCCGTGAATTTACCGACTCCATGCCACCTGGATTGACCCTGCAGGTGGTGTCTCTGCAGGGCACATGGTTCACGCACCGGCTGAACAGTGACTAAGGTTCCATTTGCAGCGCAATGCTTCATCGCGTTCATGCTCATCTAGATGGAGCCATTGAGACAGCGCTTCGCCTAGACCGGCACAGAAACAGGCCACCTAAGGCATACTCGAGCTTTCGGTGAGATGGCGGACACCCCCCAGCGCAACATGTCGCTCGTACCATATCTTCCCGCAGAGTCCCGGGAAATCGTATTGTAAGTCTACAGTTTAAAAGAACCACGGCACAAGGTGCGTATTAGCCATAGAGACCGTGCTGACCCAGCATCTGCCAAAGACGTCACGGCTCCGCTGTGGTCGTCTACGATCAGCTATCCAAGCAGCTATCCTTGCGAGATGGATCCCACACCAACGCCGTCGAGCTATCCGATTGCCCTTACTGCCATCGACCGCTCCGAGACACGTCCCCAGAACCAGACAATGCAGAGCAGGCGGGGAGTCCGGGCGCCGACACGGCGGGGTTCGTCAGCCCAGAATACTTTCGGATGCTCCACCATAGCAGGCCCGGTTCTGCAGAGCCTTCGCGGCCGCCGTCGCCTCATAGACGTATAACGCAACTCGATACAGGATCCTCGGCTCATACGCTACGGCCGCCGCCTGGTGCTCAGTTTGTGGGCAGTTCGCCAGCGTCCCCTCCGGCACCTCATGGCATATCGTCTAGTGCGTTCAGTCCGAACTACTTCAAGACGTTCTTTGTCGAGGAGAAGGTGCTGGGCAAGGGCGGCAAAGGAGTTGTGCTGCTAGTCAGACACGTTCTGGATGGAGTGTCGCTGGGCCATTTCGCTTGTAAACGCGTACCCGTTGGGGATGACCACGAGTGGCTTGAGAAAGTCTTGATAGAGGTCCAGCTACTTCAGAATCTGTCTCATCAAAACTTGGTGTCGTATAGGCATGTGTGGCTGGAAGACTATCAGATTACGACTTTTGGGCCCAGTGTACCATGCGCGTTCATTCTACAGCAGTACTGTAATGCTGGAGACCTCCACCACTATATTCTGAACTCGGCGCAGTCATCTGTAACGACACAGCAGTTGAAAGAGCGCATGCGTCGGAGATCAAAAGGCCAGATCGATCCGCCAATTCAACTAAACGCTCCACGGCGGATGCAGTTCGAGGAAATATTTTCCTTCTTCAAGGATATCACATCAGGCCTGAATCATCTGCATTCGAACGGGTACATCCATCGCGACTTGAAGCCCAGCAACTGTTTGCTACATCTCACAGGCCAAAAGCTGAAAGTTCTCGTAAGCGATTTCGGCGAAGTTCAAGCGGCGAACGCAGCGCGAAAGTCCACTGGGGCAACAGGTACCATCTCGTATTGCGCACCAGAAGTTGTGCGGCGCGAGATACCAGGCGGGCCTCTGGGCAATTTTTCCACGAAATCTGATATCTTCTCTTTGGGGATGATTGTGTATTTCATGTGCTTCGGCCGCCTTCCCTACAGCAATGCGGATGAGCTCAACGAAGAGAACGAAGACCTTGACGAGCTACGAAAGGAGATTGCGGCATGGGCCGGCTTTGACGATGAGCAGCGGGCTCGCACAGATTTGCCGGACAAGCTGTATAAGTTCTTGAAGCGCCTGCTATCGCTGAATCCCAGTGAACGCCCAGATACCGAGCAGATCCTGCATGGCATCAAAGCAGGATCTGGATTTGAAGATCTCAACACGTTTGCAACGTCCAGTGTTTTAGAAGAAATCGGGCCGCGAATCTCTTCTGCAGATTCTCCCCGGTCTTCCCCTCCTAGACATATGAGCAGGCAGTCATCATCTTCTAGGTTTCTCCCGCCTGGGCCTTCGAAGCTAAGACAAGCGTCTGTTGAGAACCACCGGTCGCCGAGTCCGGAGAAACGGCGCGATTCGGCAGATAGTGAAAAGAGGCCGGTGTCACCGGAGTCAAGCGTTATCCTACGAACACGCCATGCTGAGCCAAAACGACCATCCCTCAATCAGGCCTCCTCGGGCTCTCAATTACTGCTGCCCGCGCCCACATCTTACGGTTCGCGCGTGCAGCGCTTCTTCGCAAATCACACCGTTCTCAGCGGCGCCAGGATATCTCTCTTCCTCATAAAAGTTTTGTCAATATCAAGCCTCTGTTCTCCGTTCGCGGCGAATTCATGGTTTCAGTATCCTCTACTGGGCATAGCAACGCTTGATCTAGCCTTCCTGAGCGCATCGCCGGAGCGTTCGTATCGCGGCCTTTGGGCATCGGCCTTGTTGCTTAGCGTTCACACCTTAGTGATCACGCTGGCGTTGAAACGGGGTGCGCTCTGCCTGCGGCAAGAGTTCCCGTGGGACGAGCTATGATAGCTGCGTTGTTGTACGCTCATGGGGCCGGATAGTGCTCCGCGAAAGTGTTTGCAAAAGTTGTACCAGGGGCCTCACTGCGAGTGCAGTGACGTCGTGCTGGGCAACAGAGGCAGCACACCGCTGGTAGAGACATTGATTCTAGCTCGAACTTAACTTTAGGCGAAGATCGCTCACCCATCGTAGCGCTCGATGGATTGCACAAGCTTTGTAGGTGAACGATCAAGCATCCTGAATTTACCATCCCACTATCATGGGTTTGTCGGAGGTACTTACGCTAGCGCTCCCAGCATTGAGCGCTCGGATGAGGCTTGAGCGTTGATGTGTCTGGTACCAATAGCCCAGCACAGCACGTGACATGGCGGCTGAAGCCATTCCTTAATCAGCGACCGTCGCTCGTATTATGCGGGATGTACACCAGGTACATCTGGTCTCGTGGCTTGTCAATAGACCAAGTCCAAGAATAGACATCAAAGTCGGGATCAAGCTTGGAGATCATATAAAGCCGTCGTCTTGATTGATTGACTCTGTTCCAATCACTCGGAGTCAAACAATACAGATTTCTTGAACGGCCGGTCGCGGTATTATCCGATCCAACCTCCCTCACAATGCTCCTCATAAATCTTCTATTCAGTGGAGTCCTCCTTTTTCCCGTAGCTCTTGCCGTTCCTCATGGCCGTGACCGCGAGCCAGAATACTACGAACGACCCAATACCTACACCCTGACCGTCTACAAGAAAGACGATCCGAAGTACAACGGCCTTAAAGTCGAGGGCAGTAACATGGGTCTCTTCGCGGCCTCAACAGCCAGCTACTGCCCCGACTCCGTCCGCCAATCCGGCAGTTGTCCAAACGGCACCGAGCTTGCCTTCTCCGGCCAATTCTACCCCGTGAGTCCTGATTCAGCATCCTAATCAGATCACGTGATGCTGTCCTTACTTACCCTGTTGCCACAGCACTCCATCGTCCCCGGCGGCCAAGAATTCTACGTCGCCTACGACGGCGAGCCCGCCATAACGCGTCAACACTCGCACTCCTTCCCGCCAAACTCATACCCTTACTACTACGGCTGGACCTGGACGGCCTTCGAGAAGAAGCGCGGCCGCAAGTTCATCGAGCGCTGTCCCCGCAGAGACCCAATCTACGACTGCAGGCAGCCGAGCGGCTACTGGACGTTCAAGGCCCCCGATGGCCCCGCTGGGTACAAGGGCGGCCTGATGGCGTGTCCGAGTAAGTATGTCCCGGAGCAGACGAGCGTGTGGATGGTTACGCCAGGGTTTGCGCAGCAGGGTTGTGTGAAGCTCGATGGGTTGGCGACGCATAACTATACCGGACCGCCGGTGTGGGCTTACTGAGCGGCGGCAGTCGTGAGGTTGGGCATGGGGATGCATGAGACGAGTTGAACGAGATTCAAGAATTTTTAGCTTGGCGTTGGGAGCGGCTTGAGGAGCTGTTTTTCAGCGGGTTCGGCGTATATGAGCATATGAGTATATCCATGGATCAAACGACAGGAAGTTTCTAGAAAGACTACATGTTACAGTACTTTTGCGGAGATAACCGTGTTCTAGCTGGACGATAAAAACCATGCTAAATCCATGTCCATCAAGACGTAAGCCTTCTGTTCGCAATTTCCGACCGGTAAAGGCCCGGTCTAGTGACCGATAGCTATCCGGACCGTTAGTAACGGCTTGCCAAACCCCCCCATGGACGAACCTGGGTCATCCGTACGCCACGCTCATGATCCTACGTTACACCTTTACACGACACGCTCTCTTTGCATGCCTCAAATTGGCGAAAAGCTCCTAGATTTGAGCAGCATGAGGTCACTCGACATCGAGTTGTGACGCGCAGTCCGGTCCGGTGGTCGAAACTGAAAGCATTCCGAGACTGCCCTAAACGGCACGGCGCAAGCCTCCCCGAGCTTCACGAGCATCTCTTTGATGCTTCTCGACTCTCTCTGTTCTAGATAGCTCGCAATAGCAGCGACGCCATGCTCGAAATCGAAGCCCTCGTCACTCAATGTCCCGCCATGGCGATGTGCCGGATCGCAATAGATGCCCGTCCTCGTGGTTGTTCCGGGGGTGGCCGTAAGGTACACATCCGGTCCTTTCGGGCTGCTGCCTCTGCGCAGCGTATTGTCTAAGTACCGCTGCAGCATCGTGATCTTCTTCATCTTCTCTTCGAGCTCTGGCAACTGACCCACATCGAGATGGCTGTTCGTAGCATTCGGCCAGCTGCAATCAATGCCGCAGCCCACGAGGCCTGGACCCGGCGCAGTATCGTGGCCGCAGCTAGTATGGCATGGGTGCGGTCCCCGCAGATGGAGCAGAGCACCGCAGGCCTTGAACGCGTACCCGCGACACGGGCGATAGCCATGCATGTTGGAGTGGGCCGTCACGGCAAGCCAGCCCCACCGAGTCGTAAGCGCGTTGCTGTACTCGGAGGGAACCAGCTTGTAGCGCGCTTCGACGAGTAGGAAGGGCTTGATGTGGCGGGCCTTATCTCTGCAGAGGCCGAGGCGAAGAGGAAGACCGTCGAGAATTAGTCGCAGGCTCTCGCCTTCCTCGAGGACGAACCGATTCTCGAGGACACGGGAAAGGTCGAGGGAAAGCAAAGGAAAGTATTCAAGCTTGTCTTTATTAGGCATAGTGCTGCTCTCCCACTCGCGCGATAGGGCGTCTGTCAGGATGGTCGAGAGTCTCCTTGTGGATAGATAATCCCACACCCACCGGGGCATGACGTTGTGATCGCTGGAACTGGCGCACACAAACTCTGCGAACGTGAGGCGCTTCGGTGCGTCGTTGCGCACAAGGCTGTACTCCGTTTCCTCGGTCTTCGGATCATCAAAGCGAGGATTGATGGCCCAGAAGCCCAGGCGAAGCACTGCCAGAGCGGCTTGGCAGCCAATCCAAATCAGCGCCCGCTGACTAGAAGCACTTTTTAGGACGGCATATTGGCAGACATAAGCCGTTGCGCAAAAGGCTGACACGAGAAGCGCAGGCAACCACATGAAGCTAGGGTCGTAAAAGTGGGTTTGGCCACGGAAGTGGAGAACGTCTCCGCCGTTGACGCGAGCTTGGAGGAAGTGAAGCCGGCTGTGTGCGCCCTGTGGACCGGTAAAAAGTGCTTGGTACTTCTCCGTCGAGATCTTGCTTCCGGGTCTGCCAGTCTGTCGTTCGTATGCTAGGGGTAGAGCTAGCATAAAGAGGAGGCTGGCATGCAGACCAGGTACAGCGATGACAAGGAGCCAATTCCAGTCCGTCGTTACGCATAGAAGGAGCCATGATGTTGCGCCGGAGCAAAGGAAAGCCACCAGTGCGACTACGATGGGACTCTGTGCGAAGGAATTCTCGTGTGTGGTGTTACCCAGGTTGACTGCAGTAACTCCTGCAAGCCCGCCTGGCCAGTCTTTCCCAACGCTGACGATTGGAGTTCTTTCGCGGTGGAGAAACTGCTTTTGCTTGCTGATGTACACATCTTCTTTGGTTGTAACAACATCCACAGCATCGCAATCAAAGAGATCAGTATTGATGGATTCATCCGGAAGGAATCCGTATCGTCCTCGTAGAGAATCGATGTTGAAACCTGCCGTGCTGCCTGCTTCTTGTCAGGGATGCCACATAAAGAAGATACACGGAGGCGTGGTAGAAGTACAGAGAGACTTCAGTGCTCCGGCAAGTCCTCTAAGACTCTGATGAGAACCCATTCTTACATTTTTCAAGTCCCAGGGCTAATTTAACCGTGCTTTTGACCAGACCTAGAAGGCCCAAGATCGATAGTGATGAGGCTGCTACAGAGCCGTAGCCCATGTGTGTTGCGAGTACATTGCGCTCCACGCCATCTGTGCAAAACAGTCCTGCTAGTGCTGCGAGATCTTGAGACCCGCTGGCGAGCACGTGCGGGACAGAAGCAGGACCGTCCATCTACGGAAGAGACTCTGTGATAGTAAGAAACGAGAATGGGGAAAATATATTCGAGTCTATAGGTCTTGCCATTGATGATATGAGAATGGTTTTAGGGATACGCTGCCGCTTCATGGCCATAAACAGTCCAAGTACAGACTGCGCCGCAGCCACGCAGATAAGAAACACGAGGCCAATGCAGGACGGGAAACCAACTGGACGGTAAGCACGGGTAGAACATTCGGCCGGCGTGCTGTAGCCACCAGTGAGGACTTGTGTTTATGAGCCAGAGAGAAACATTCCAGGAACAAGCAAGTATCTTCCCTGTTCATGGAGCTCCGCGCTTGCAGAAGCGCCAGCCTCAGGCACTTACACGATAATGAGGCTGATGCAAAGGCGTCATGGAACGCGTGCTGAAAGTATTGAAACGCGTTTGTTATCTCCGAAAGTTGCGTGCTGCCTCTGCAGTCCTCCTGTGTATGGATTGAAACAAGCAACGGCCAGTGAGGTGTCCAAGGGACGCTCAGCTCGGCGGCGAAGGATCGAGGGATCCATGCAGGGGAAGAAGGACGGCCTCACAATTTCTTGTGGCTGAACGTGTTTCTAGAAACTGGCCGGGGACCTGCAAGATAGCCTGACGGCCCTAAAGAGCGGGTGCCTTGGGCACCAAAGGCTGGCTACCATTCTTACGCCATACTGAGGATTCGTGTACACGCGCAATTGGACTCCATCCCGGATGGCAGAGGCTCTTCAAACGCGCCGTGCAAGGGCCCTTCCAAGTTCCTGGTCGGTGAGGGCTTTTCGGGCTTAAGCTCGATACGCCACGGCGAATGTGTCCTGAATGAGCTGAAGGCACGCTATGAAGCCATCCGAAGCCATGCCAAAGGTGCAACGGCGGAACGGGGGAGGACGCTGCCGCCCCAGACGGGTGATCTGAGCGCGTAGGAAGGCAATCTTCCATCTCGGCCGCTTTTGGTGAGAGGCTTGCGGCAAAGGCCAGAAGAAACACAGAAAAGGCAAACGCTCCAGACGCGCCGTGATGCAGGGCTGAAACGGGCACGCGCAAGCCACGTGCACGGGGGCAACCATCCCGTCCTCCAGGTTCATAAAGACCACAGGAACGTTCAGCCTTGAAGCCGACTGGGAGCCTTGTTTTGCTGCATGATGCCCCTGGCGCTCAATCCAGATTGATATGGCTGACCGGTAACTGCTGGTAGCTGAAGCTGATGTGGCAAGATGGGACTTATTTCAGGGCAAGAGACATTTACTACGGTCAAGTTTAGGAGCTGAACGCAGGAGTCGTACGGAGGCTTTATTGTCGTTGTCATTGTTATCAGTCCAGTCCCATCCGCTGCCTTATCCTACCGCGGTCTAAGTCTAAGTACGCCTCTTTGGTCTAAGTATGCTCCCTCGTTATGCAGCAATCCAGCTCATGCAGCAACTCATTCCACACGAACGCCGTTCAATACCCACCGATCCAATCTCGCTCACCCCGAATCTTCGACAACTAGGTAGTTCTCATCAGCCCAGCTCCACATCCCAGCATCCAGGTACATGCCTATACCTTTGCCGAAATGGGCAGTGGAGCAGGCTCCGTCTTCTTTTTCTGATATCCGGCAGCCGCCCAGCCGTTCTCTGCCGTCTCTCTCAGATTCCTCTGCTCCTCCTTAGACAGCGGCTTCTCCGTACCGCGTCTCCTCGCGCTCGACTCTGTTGTCTCGACTATGGATGCATCGTCGCCACTAGCTGGATCAAACGTATAGCTCCGGAACTCCGTGTTCGCCCAGCCGGTACCTATCCTCCATCAGCAACTCCACGATACTTCGCAGCAAGTCTAAGCATCACTTACCCACGAACTTCTCGCACCCCGACCAGTCCTCTGTAAAGTAGTGCAAGAACCCTCCATGTGTCACGACCGCGACGTTGCTCGCCTTCCGCTCCCTCAACCACACCCTTGCCTCCCTTCCCCGCTCAATGATCGCATCCGCCTCCGGCGCCCAGCGTCCCTTCTTGCTGTTCCAGCCCTCAGTCACCAAGCTCAGGTCGACTGGCCTCCCCTTGAACTCCCTTCGCAGCTCCTCGATATCACTCCCCGTATCGCACGGCAGATCGCTCGTCTCCTGGATCTCAGGCAGGGCGATGACCCGCATGTGCGGGTTCTTCTCTAGGAGAGACTGGAAGGTGTAGAGGGCGGTGTAGATGGTACGTTTCAGAGGGGAGGCAACAATCAGGTCGATGCGGTCGGTGTAGGGGAAGGTGAAGGCGAGATCTCTGCATTGTGAGACGCCGAGGGGCGTGAGGAGCGGATCGGGAAGGGTGAGGTTCGCGAGACTAAGGTTGTGATGGCCTTGGGCGTGGCGGATGAGGTGGATCGTTGGAGACATTGTGGTGGTAGTCTTGTTTCTGGAGTCCTGAAAGGTAGACCTGGAAGAGGATTGAAGGTAGTGACAATGGGGGGAATGAGAGAGGATTGAGTTTGTGAGAAAAGGTGAAGTGATTAAGGTACACTTCTGCGGCAGAACTGTACCTTATCTTTTAGGCACCATCTGCGTGGGCAGAGTCATTGGTGCTCAAGGCATGACGAAGATATCCCTGTCACTCAACAAGGAAAATGTACTGAGATGCTCGTCATTCTCCCCGACACCACGGTCTAACGGCCGGCAACTCCGTTTCCGGACCTGCCGATCCGGTTGACTCAATCCGACCTCCCGGCTCGGCAAACTTGCCCGCGCTGAGTTCCTGTGGGCTGGAAAGGGTAGGTGAAGCGCAGAATAAGTCTCACCAAGCTGCTGGTAACCGTGGATGCACTTATATAATATCTTGTGTTTCTGTCTCGGTAATATTCAACGTCCGATTTGCTATAACGCAGCGAGCCAAGAACGTTGTACTTCAACACAGCTACTGCTCTCAATACTGCTCAAGCGTTTACACTGTCCATTCTCTCTTGACAATATTGACTGTCGGAGGTGAAACGAATCGCGAAGTCTAAGAAAGCCAAGAAAGTCGCGTCAGAGAGCCTCTGCATTGATCTCGGAATCTTTGAGGTTGAGCCGACACACAGCAAAGTGCCTCTCATGCGTGGACTTGCCACAAAATCAGATCCCTGCACCACTAACGCTGGCAGATGAACGGACCACAAGCATACGGGGATAATTGAAAAACAGGCGAAGTCGTGTTGTATCATGCGATTAGCACAACCGGAATACGATTAATATGAATCTACGAGCTGGAAGCTCCTAGCCTGGCAGCCTTGAACCTACTGACCTTCTTGACCTTGCCATCTCTTTCCTCCAACAGCGGATCCTGTTCGGCCTCCTCTTCCGAAGGCATAAATCCACCCTGTCTCTGAATCATACGATTCCGCATCTTGTGATACTCTGTAGCTACTTCCTGCTGCAAAAGCGCGGGGTCTAGCCCATCCGGATCTGGAGGCTCTGCCTCGCCTTCGGCTGCTGAGCGCTCGACCACGGCGGACGAGAGTGTCCGACCAGCAGGACCTTCCGGAGCTGTCCTTAGTGTTGGAGCTGCTGCGGTGAGGTGTACTGGAACAGTTTTCACGGGTTGCGAGGACGTGGCTGCTGAGGTCCCTCTGGTGCTCTTGAAGCGAGACGTTTTCTGTCGCCTGGGCTCCTCTGATACCGTGGGTTGCGCGGCCGTGGTGCGCTCGAGGACAGCGTCGGAGACTACGGGCTTCCTTGGTAAGGCTTCTGTTGCCGCACTCTCAACAGCCTTGGACGCAGCCTCAGGAGCCGGTGAAATATCCAGATCCTCGGCGAAGCGAACACCCTTCCTCGCCGGTTTCTCGGTATTCTTAGGGACATCCGGCTCGGTATCTGTGTTTGCCTTCCGAATGACAAGCCGTCGTGCATCCTCTGCGTAGTCGTTGAGCGGATTCTGTTCCGACTCAGGGCCAACGTTCTCCAGCATTCGCGCGTTGAGCTTCTTTTCCAGTTCGAGCATCTGCCGCCTGTAATCGTCGCTGACTTCTCTCCTTGTACTCCTGCCGTACTCATCCTCCTCTTCCGCATCGCTCTCATAATCATCGTCGAACTCATCATCAGAGTGGGAATACTGGCCGTCGGGATCCTCCAGATCAAGCTCGGCGACTACAGAGCCTACCCCCGACAAGCCGTACTCAAGCATCTCTCTACGGAGCGCTGCATCCTCAGGCGAATCGTCATCCGGGATAATGGCAGTCGATCCTATCACCTCGTCGTCATCATTCAGTTCGATGACTTTGGAGCCGGGTTTGAAGCGTCCATATGCTAAGTCATCCTTGATTTGACCCTTCTTCTGGTTTTGCTGGCTCCCTAGCGGCTTCGACGATGATGGCGCAGCCTCTATAATGTTTTCTGCGAACGCAACAGACTTCCTGGCAGCCTTCGGCAATGCATTGGTCTCAGACCGTGATTGCTCAGGGTCCACTGCGGAATCCTGACTTTTAGTGAATGTAGATGCAGCTTGATTCTGAGTAGGCTTGCTAGGCATGCTCATGTCAGTTGACTTTTCCAGGTCTGTAACACCGGCGTTACGCAATGCCTGTATAATGCGTGTTTGAGACTCAGTCGGATCCGATGTGGTACTAGATATGACATTGCCTTCCTCGTCTAGCTCTTCTCGGATCTCGGCAAGTGGTAAACCACTCTCGTCGGTCATCTCAGGATTGCTGATGACCAGAACTTGACCGAGCTTCTCTTCAGCAGCACCAAGCTGCTTTTGTACTGTTTTCACGTTTTGCTGAACGTAGTCGACTCGCCGTGAGATGAGGTCAACAACTTGCGTGCGTGATCTTTGAATCCCCTTATCAATGCCGACGAGCTGCCTGATCTCGTTCTCGTTGACGAGGTCGCCGCCAAATTTGGTGCCAATATCAACCAGATCCTGTGTCGTAGGTTCGCCGGCGAAGCCGAGGATTTCTTCCTTCAGGCCTTCGTATTCAGCATCCCATGTCTGCCATTGCCGCAGCGCTAGTTGCAGTTTCACGACACTCTCTTCTAACTGCAAGCGGCGGCGCTCAAGGTCGGCGAGACTGTCTCTGGTTGTCTGGTCCATCTTTGAAGCGGAATTTGGAAAAGGATTTGGGGCATCGAACTACCACCGCTGTACTCGGAAAGAATGAAAGTCAAGAATCACGTGAGATGCCGTGGCAGAACCTTTCACCGCCCTCTCACGCAAGCAGCGCATTTGTAAGGCATCAAGGCAATTACATATCATTGTCGCCAACCCCACGCCGAAGGTGCCTCCAACTATCGCAACCACCACTTCTTCACGGCCATGTCCCGTCTCGCGCAGCGCGGCGGCACTGCTGCCGCCACCATCTCCACGACTGCACTACCTATGCCCTCCGATGACGGTGAGCTGCAAACCCGCTTCTTAAGTCTGCGCTTTACTGACGCAGACGCAGCTATATGTCCAGTATGCAAAGCGTCACGATACTGGAACTCCCAGGTGCCGATGTTGATGAACCCGGAGTGCTACCACAAGATCTGTAAGGAGTGCGTGGACCGATACTTTTCGCATGGACCTGCGCCGTGTCCAGTTGCAGGATGCGGGAAGACACTACGGAGAAACCGGTTCCGGAAGCAGACGTTTGAGGATCTGCAGGTGGAGAGGGAGATTGACATTAGGAAGTGGCTTGCTGGAATGTAAGCGGCTCATCCTAAGCTACTTATATTCACTGTCCACTCTAAAGGTATACTAACAACAGCCTGCCCACACAGCTTCAACCGTCGAGAAGACGAGTTCGACTCGCTAAAAGACTACAACGACTACCTCAACCAAGTCGAAGACTGGACCTACAACCTAATCCAGAACATCGACGTCGAGGCTACCAAGAAGCAAATCAACGCCTACAAAGAAGCGAACCAAAAAGACATTGCCGAAAATGTCTCCCTCGCGAACCAAGAGCATCTCACATACGAGCAGCGCCAGGCCGCCGAGAAGCAACAAGCGCGGCTACGGCGTGAGGCCGCCCGCCGCGAAGCCGAGGAGGAGCGCCGGATCAAGGAAGAGGGCAGGAACAGCATACTAAACAAAGTCGCATCCGGCGAGGCGAATCTTAGGGACACCAACAGAGTCGAGCTCAAGCGCGCCTCAGGGCGAGGACCAGCTAAGCCGCAGTTAACCGATCCTTTCCTGGAAGATGCATCTAAGGGTGCAGCAAGCCCTGGCTTCCAGATCAAAGGCCTGAAGAAGCGCGTGCAAGTTGCGCCTGAGGCACCGTTTGATCCCTTTGAGGGCTTGTTATACAAGCCGCAGTATCATGTTGTCCGGGACAACTACCCCTGGGACTTTTTGGACAGCACGCGGAAGGATATTAAACATGCGGCGGGTGGCTATGACGTTGCGCAATACTGTGCTCGGGCTTTATGCGATGCCTTCTCAGGTCTGGGAGTGTTCATCGAAGACGAGATTGCGGCAAGGGAGGGGCCGCCTGCGCCGGAAGTAGTAGAACAAGCGGCTGCCGAGGCGGCCACGAGCGGCATAAGCGTGGATCCAAAGATAAAAGATGATGTTTTCTGAAATTTTAGCGGTATACCCAGGGTCTGAAAGCGTTGGTTGGCGTTCAAACATGACACAATGGATGGAGTTTGCATTGCACGGCGTTGGCAGGACTACTTTGGCATTTGCGTAGATTACAGGCATGCTCGGAGGCTATGAAAAGCCTGCACTATCTCTCCGTTGTTTTATCCAGCTTGCTTAGTCTGCTCATAGCCCTCCAAGGTATCCATATTCAACTGTTCGGCATAGTTGGCCAATCGTACCTCTAGTCGACTGATAAGCTATCGTCCACGTCACCTTTCAGCGCAACTACGCGTGCCATCAAGAACGCCAGCTGCATCAAGTCAAAATTGGGTAATAGCATCTCGACCGGGTCCGCCGTCGTAATATCGAACTCGTAGCCTGACTCGACCCGTTTTTGTATGGGTTGAGCTTGTGAAGGCACGTAACCCTAGGTAGCCACTGGAATCATATTCAAGCAACGTAGTGGGGAGGAACTAAGAGCTGCTAGGACTGGGCGTATTTCAAGTGCTGCTTGAAAACAAGCAAAGCAAGCTAGAGCTTGAGTAGTAGGACTGTCACAACGTCGAGAAGCTCACGAAGGGCATCGTGTTGATCACAACATGATCAGGCCCTGAAGAACCGGTGTGTTCGTTATGCCACGCTCAAGCTGGGGAAGACTACGCGATATTGGAGGTATCTAGACAGCAGACTGTACTTACCCGGCTACAAGAACGCATTACCGAGCGAAATAGATTGAGACACCGTATTCCTGAACTCGAAAGATGAATAGGAGATTAATGCAGCCGGAGATTATAATACCTAGCGAACATATCCGAGAGGCGCCTACAGCTTATCTCAGTTACAAGGCGGTTCCCTGTGCGCGGGTTACAGCTCGCACCACCCCTACATAACCGCGCTCCCAATGCCTTACACTCAGTTGAAGCGGCCGCGGTATCTTCTACTCCTACACGATGATCAAGTGATGCCAGTAACTTCGACGCTCGCGTTGTAGTGTCAAGGACTAGTAATGTGGACAATGGCGCTGATGATGTCCACCGAGAACTGAGGGGATAGGGATCTCGAGAGTATAACAAACCACGTGACAATTTACACTACACCATAATAGCTATACCGAGGGTATCTTGTCGGAGGCAGGACACCACCGCAAGCCTGCACCGCAGTGACGGCTATTAGGCCATAAAACTCTCTCTTCCCAACCCAAATCCATAGCCCCTCCAATTGATCCTACAAGTCAACCCAGCATGCCACCCAACCCCCAACCCCTCGGCCTCGGCCTCACCCCCTACAAAGCAACCCAACTCCTAACCACCACCTCCCTCGCCCTACTGCTAGGCTCGACGACCTGGGCTAGCGTAGCAGTCATGCCCTCCCTAATCGCCGCGCCCATAAGCACCTACGCCAAACTCTCCGTCTTCCGCGGCCTCATCATCCGCGCGAACTCCATCCTCCCTCCCGTCTTCATCGCCACGGTCGCCGGGCTGGGCTATTTGGCCGGCACATCCTTCTCCGGGGGTGCGCGGGGGAATTATGCGGTGGCGATGGCGGCGGTGCTGGCGGCGTTAGGGTTGCAGGTTAAGGTGTTGCCGCTGAATAAGGCGATGGTTGAGGTGGTGGATCAGGGGAGGGGGAAGGAAGATCAGGGCGAGGAGGGGAATAGAAGGATTGGGGAGTTGTTGGTTTTGAATTGGGGGAGGGTTGCGCTGAGCGCGTTTGCGTTTGGGCTGAGTTTGTGGGAGCTGGGCGTCGTGAGGAGGGCGGTGGTGGTGGCGATGACCCCTGCTCCGGTCTCACGAGGTTTGTTCGGACGTGCAGGGTAGACTCGTAGGAAATGGTCTATGCAATCCTGTGACCCTCCCTAGGGGCTTCTGGGATCAATCTCTATATGGTGGTATGTCTGTACCGACGCCCTACGCCCTCTAGTCCCTACCAAATCCTCTTAGCAACCATGCTATACCTCCTCACCCCCCCCAGCTTATCCCCACCCTTATCCTCCTTACTCCTCACCCTCTCCTCCCTCTCCCTCAGCGCCCTCGCTCCCTCAGGATCATCCGCATAAATCCACCTCCGCTTCTCCTCCCCAACCTCCACGACACCCCAACCACCAACCCTCTTGCCTGCCGTATCAACCACTGCCCTCTCCCTCTCTTTCATGCCTCGGTATCTTGATCGCGCGAAACTAAGCAGCGCCATCCCTAGCACGAGCTTGAGCGTCAGCAGCAGAAGATACGCGACCAAAAACACAACGCCCATCGTCACAAACGCGATGACGTCGTCGAACGTCCAGGCGCTGAGGGACCACCAACTCGCAGTCCCAGCGGAGGTGCCCACGCCGAAAGAGCTGCGGCCGAGCGCGCGACGGAAGACAGTATCGATGTGGGCGAGTGCTGCGGTGGTTGCGGGAGATGTGGCTGCAGAGGCGCTTTCCATGGCGAGAGAAGTAGCGGTCGAGGCAATGGGCAGCGGCATGTGGATGGCGAGGAACATGTGGTAGGTTTGTATGAGGGCACGGATGAAGAGGCAGCTGAGGGGGAGGAGGGGGAGGCCGAGACGCTTGGTTAGGTTCTGGTCTGCGAAGGCCTGGATCCGTCACTGCATGTCAGCTACGTAGTATATGGAATTCATAAAAGGTAAAGGAATGGGGAAACTTACGTGAGAGTAGTAGTCCTTCGCCAGCACGTCCAAGAACCGGCTATAGACGGCAGGCTTTACATTATTGAACTTTGTAACATAGCAGTGCTTCAGCCAGTCGACAAGCATCTCGCTGCCGAGAACGAGGAGGAACGGCCCAAGGACCTGGCCGGTCCACTTCGGAAAGAGTGTGAAGGACTTAGGGATGATGCTGGTACTGCGGAAGGGGGCGCTGGTGGCATTGCTCCCAACGCTAGCGGCGCCCGCTGAACCTGAGATATCCCCAAGGATGCTGAGGCCGCCAACCTCGACGATGTTCCGTAGAGCGATGATCAGGAGCATCAGCCATAACTGGAAGCGCTCAACCACGTCAGCACAGGTAAGCTGGAATAAGTTCTCCTTTTCAAATTTCTTGAAGACGGTGCTCTTGATTTCGACGAATTGATTGGACATGAGTAGAGTCAGCAGAGCGTTTGAGTATGAGTTTACGGCGACGTTCAACGTGATGACCTGGTAGAAGAGGGCGGTGGCATGGATGACGTTATAGATCAGAGCGAGCATGAACATCCAGAGAGGCCGGATAACCTTGCTTCGTCCATCAGTGTCGCGCTCTAATGTCTCACGTGACAAGAGGCACTCCATGATGTCTTGACCGAGCGAAGAAAACAATCGATCGCAGACCTGCGACGTTTGTTAGTACCCCTTTGATGACGCGGCTGGTGTTCGTACCTCTAGGACGTTGTAGATCACGTATAGCTTGATGGCAGCCTGCCCTCTGATCCCGTGATACATCCTACTCGCATCGAAGCGCATTAGAATCATGCAGCTAGTAAGGACTAGTAGGCCGTTAAGTAAATCAGCCTTGTGGTCTGGCAAAAGCGCCGATGGCTTGGGCTTGGTCCGCCGGCTCCGATATGTATTGCTTTTTGTATGCCTGCGTTGTGGTTGCGGCCGTTGTGCAGAGACCGGATCGGAATTAACGTTCTCTTGAGCCACTGGCGTTGGTAGCGATGGACGCGCGGTGATGAACGACGTTCTCCTCGAGCTAAGCCCGTCTACAGCTGGTGTGCCGGGCACCAAAAAGTCAGACTGCTGTCTTTTACGTCGCCATAGTCGACCCAAGCCGTTGTAGACAAAGCTGGCAAGGTCTTTTGCTTCCCTGACGGCACTCTGAGCAACCCACCTGATCAAGACCCAGAGGGCCCTGAAGAAGCGGAGCGGCAGTATCGTGAAGGTGTACAACCACGCATCCAGACAAGCCAGTGCACCGAACCAGAGGACCTGCTCCAGTTGCGGGGCGAGCCAAAGAAAATTTAAGAGGCGCTCGAACTTCACTTTGGATGACTCATACGGGAAGTCGTAACTAGGCGATCTGTGAATATATAGCGGAGATGGCTTTTCAGATGACAACTCTAGCTGCAAGTATGTTGGAAGAGACAACGGTGGAAGGGGCAAGTTGGCGGGCGCAGGAGATGGTAGCGGGTCTTGCGAAGAGACTGCCTTCGCGCCCGATGTTCCATTCGTTTTATTCTCATCAAGGTTAAGCGGTGGAGGCCGTCCAGCACGCTGCTGTCCGCTTTGGTCCTGGCCTAGGCTGACAGTTCTTGATGATTGCTTGCGTCTGATCACAGGCGTAGATACGGTTCTGGAGGAGAAGCTTGGGCGGGAGTGTCGTTGCTCTTTTTGAGTGCCGCCGTTAATCTCTTCGTATAGCCTCAGCCTCGGAGGCTCCGCCTTCGTGCCAACTCCATCCAGATCGATACTGTTTTGCACCGCACTCCCTTGCGCTTCACTGACGCCATTTTGAAGCTTCGGTCCACCCTCCTCAAAGGGCGACGACTCTACAAGCGGAGTAACCACCTCTGGCAACGGCGACGCGGTGCGGACTGGCAAGGAACTTGGCGAACGGGTAAGCTCCTGAATCTGCGCCGGCGACAACTTCAGCACCTTTTCGCGGTCCGCTTGACCAGTAGCCGGAGAGGCTAGCTTTCCAATACTCCTCTTCCTGCTCTCCTGTCCTGGGGTGCCGCCATCCCGCAGAGGGTTTGACTCCGTTGTGCCGTCTAAGGTGAAGTAATCGCAGTCAGGATGCTTCGAATGCCCATTGGCCATTACCGCCTTTTCATTGTGCTGGATGATTAATGATGGTATAGGGTCTCCAACCTCCTCTTCGCTTGCATGGCCGGTTTCAGAGGGTGCTGGAGTAGGAATCTGGCCATTAGAGCTAATATCTGCGAGTATATCACCGTTCCTGCCGTGGGTGTCGGGTTCGCGCAGGCCACTCATTATGCACACGAAGTCTTATCGTGTTGAGCATGTTCGGCTGCAGCCAGAAGGACCCTATGTTGGTGTCAAGTTAGGCGTTCTTGTCACAATAGCTTGACGTTTATGAAATCTAGGAGATCCATGGTTCACCGTCAGGAATGAAGCTCAATGCGCCGGCTCCTCCTCGGCGGCTTGACGCGGCGGATGCTGCCTCTCGTTCGCGGGTCGTCATTTGAGCGACCTACCCACAAACTCCATGTCTCTGCTTCCATACTCCCTCTGGTTTCCACCATAGCCACCATGTCAGGATACGAGGGTAACTTGAGCTCTAGCTCTCCCCAAGCCTCAACCCTCAGCTAACCTCCCCCACAGTCGAACACAACATCCCCTCCTCGACTCCCAAACCCGAGCAACCCCCCCGCCGCCCCGACCTCTCGACTTTCTTTTCGACGCTCGAGCTTGTCGACACCTCCGGCGAGCGCACGCCGCAGTTCAACGCGCATGCGTTGCCTACGCCTGAGAATGTCGCTGCGGCATATCGCCTCCTGGCCAATGCGTTCGAGATGATGCGCGGTGGCGGAGGGGAGCATCAAGACAGCTCGAACGACCTACTGAGCACGCTCGTACAAAGCCTGATGCAGAGCGCCGATGATCCGCCGGATAAGGTGCAGGGCGTGCCGGATAGTTTCTTGGATCAGCTGGAGAGGGTGCCGAAAGCGGCGTTGAGGGAGAAAGATAGTTGTCCGATTTGTGGGAATCCGTTCCTCGATGGTATGGGTCCTTAGGGGTGGAAGACGTGAGTAGACCCGTCTGACATCTGGATAGATAAGTACCCGCTGGTTGTGGAACTTCCATGTCATAAAGACCACAGATTCGACCTGGAGTGCATACGGCCGTGGCTGAAGCTGAATCCGACGTGTCCGCTCGATCGGAAGGTGTTGCTGAAGAAGAAAGAGTCGCCGCCGCCGCAAGCACCGGACGAAGATGAAGGAGAGTACGACGACATGTACGCATGATGGAAGGTGGTGTTCAACGCTTAGCATGGCGGAGGAGTACGGAGTAAGCATATGCGTGCATATGTTGGTCGCTTCTGAAGAGAACTCTCGGAGCGTCTTCTCATAGCTTTCATCACATCAGAAGGGCTATCGACACAAAGTGCTAGCATATATCACTTAACACGGCATAGCAGCATGATACCCATATGAAGCGGTGGCCTGAAATGTAATTGTCTTTCTCACAGAATCCAAGCGTGCGTTTTGACATGTGTTATAAACTTTCGGCCACTCGAGCATCATGCAGCCATCTATCCGAGACCCCTCGCCGGAGGTCTCGCGTACGCAGGCTGTATCTGTCCAAAGTCTGGCCGATCAAGGCTTCTGTTGACCTGTTCCACAGCCAGCTCGCAACCGACTGCAACGCCAGAGCCGTGCATCTATGTCTAGTCAACACTACACGCTACTTATGCGGTATACCCTCCTCAGGCATCGGCTGCACGCCCGCCAACTCCGCCGCCTTCGGCATTTCCTGACCTTTAACGTCCTTCATCATCGGGAACGTCAAGACCTCCTTAATGCTGTAATTATCCGTGATGAACATCACCAGCCGGTCAATGCCGCAGCCAAACCCACCCGTGGGCGGCAGCCCGTGCTCCATAGCCCTGATGAAACCCTCGTCCATGAACATAGCCTCCTCATCGCCCGCTGCCTTCTGCCTTGCCTGCTCCTCGAAGCGCATGCGTTGATCCAGCGGATTGTTCAACTCGGTGTACGCGTTTACGATCTCCTTCTTGCAGACAAACGCCTCGAACCTCTCGCATAATCCCGGCTTGCTGCGGTGGTACTTGGCGAGTGGGGACATCATCTGCGGGTGCTCCATGATGAAGGTCGGATTGATGCAGGTCTCCTCAATGAATTCGCCCACAAGCTTGTCCAGCATGCGCGCGTTCGTCATCGGCGGAGGGCACTCGACCTTCACCTTTTCCAGGACTTTCTTGAGGAATGCATTCGTCTCGTCCGTATGTAGCTGGTCGCTTGGCGGGAACTTCTCGCCGGTCGCCTCTTCTAGCGCCGGCATCATCTCGATCCTCTTCCACGGCGCCTCCCAGTTGATGTCGTATGTATCGCCGTGCTGCGTATGGTACGTCGTCTTGTAAGAACCGGTTATGTGCTTGACCATGCCGGATACCAGCTCTTCGGTCATGGTCATCAGATCGTACATATCGGCATACGCCTGATAAAACTCGCACGTTGTAAATTCGGGGTTGTGTGTCAGGTCGATGTCCTCGTTGCGGAATTGCTGCCCTATCTCGTAGACCCGGTTGAACCCTCCTACAATGAGCTTCTTCAGCTCGAGCTCTGGCGCGACCCGCAGATAGAGCTCCCTGTCTAGAGCGTTGTGATACGTCTTGAAGGGCTTGGCTGTTGCACCGCCAGCAACCGAGCTCATCATGGGTGTCTGGACCTCTAGGAAATCTCGGTCATCTAGGAAGTTTCGGACGTAGCGGATTATTTTAGCTCTTGTCTTTATAATCTCGTGCGGCTTTTCGTTCATGAGGAAATCCAGGTATCGTTGGCGGAAGCGCTGCTCAGGGTCCGTGAAACCATAGTAATCGCTAGGTAGCAGGTGGAAATTCGGAGCCAGTAGCTGAACCTCTCTGGCGAATACACTGACCTCCCCTCCACCCCCACTCTTCGGGTTCGTCCGGCCGGGATGGCCGATAACACCTATCACGTCGCCTCTCCGCAGTCTCTCGTGCTGCTGCTCAAACGAGAGGTGGCCTTGAGCTTGCTGTGACTGGCACATTATCTGCACCTTTGCGTTGTCCTTCCCCTTGACAACGTAGAAAAGCAGGTTCTTCCCCGAGGACCGCGTTGTGTATACCCTTCCAGCGACTTGCACTTCTACCTCCTTCAACTCTTCGCCAGGCTTCAAATCCTTGTACTTTTCCACGAAATCGGGAACCTCGATCGTTACGTTGAACTTATGTGGGAATGGGTTTGTCTCGGGCTTCTCAAGATATCGCACAACATCGCGGGTTCTCATCTCAAAGAATTGGCTGTTCTCATCGTCAGCGCAAGACTGGTCAGGCAATCCAGGTCATTTGTTGGTCAAGCGAACGAGTCATGTAAGGCTAAGTGGATCGGACCAGTTCGTGAGGTTGGCAAAGCTGCGTGTAGTGACCTCTGGTACCTACTTTGGGTTCAGCTCTTTCTCGTCAGGCTCTGCGGTCTTCTTTTGAGGCTTCGGCGGAGCTGCCGCGGCCTTTTCTGCCTTCTTGGCCTCTCTTTCGCGCATCTTGTTTCTCTTCTTGACTACGCGATCATGATCAGTAACTGAGCGAGCAGACGCCCGACGTATCTGAGCTCTTACGCTCGGTCTTGGTGACTTGCTCGCCGGTCACGTCATCCAGCACAAGGTTCCGCAGGCCTTCCTCTGGGGTGAGCGAGTCTGCAGCCATTGCGCCGGCTGCAGTATTTGGATCCGCCATGGTGTGACAGCACAGAAGTCGCGATGGTATAACGTGTATTTCGGCGGCTTCTATACGCGAGACTGACCGTCGTGAGTCACTGATTGAACATACCGTGACTCCAAAAACGCGTCCCAAAAACCGTGGTGAAGTTGACCGGCCGGAAAAACTTGGAGGGGCTCGGGACGCTTTACTCGACTATGCCTAGCGCGGGGTAGCAATGGATGAGAGCCCCGTGATCGCAAGTCACGTGCATGTCTGAGCGAGTCTCTTGGCGTACATGTCATCGTCGGTTCAACTTTGGGCGAACCAAACGTTTCAACGTCTCAGCGTAGTAAGAGAGGGATTCTCACCTAGCTATCAAGTATTCCTAACGTGTTTCATGGAACTAGCAGCAGGTTGGTATCAAAGCTCATGAGTTTAGCCTCTCCAGCTGGTGGATATTACGCTTATGAAATTCAAACCTCGAATCCAGCTTGTATAGTGAACCATGGACTGAAGTGTTGGAGAGGGTTTCTCCAATGTCTACCCAAACTCTATTCGCTCTGACTGTGCCATGCTATATAACCTGCGCCATCTCCTCACGTTCGCTTTGCATCCATCTTGATCACGAATTCCCAGTCATCATCAATATCACAAGAACCCTTGAAGCTCAAATCTCAAATACTTCCTCACCGTACCAACGCCGCATACTTCTCTTCACCCAACACCTTAACTTTAATCACTCTTCAAAATGTCGATACATTTCCACACGCTCGAGAAGTCCTCAATCATCGCCGCAGCGTCAAAGGCAGCAAGAGAAGTAGACCGGGACACTGCCATAAAGCACATCAAGCTGGAGTACCAGAAATACTGCCATCGCCACAATGAGGCTAGTTTCCCAACCACCGCCATTATCATAGGGGCCCTTGGGATCACCGCCGGCTCCAGCACCTGTCTGCGACACTGCCGCACAAGTACTCAGCCGGTCAGAATGGCATGTGGTCATAGAGTTTGTAAGAAGTGCATCGACCAATGGGTTGGAGAAGGAGGCGCGTGCCAGCACGAGGAGAGTTGCCCGATGTGCCGATCGTGGCTCGTCAAGAGCTGCAGGCGCCGCGAACCCCTTCAATACGACGACTTCGAGGATATGGCGCTCGTGCACCTTGTTGGCACGGTCTCATGTCCGTCAAACAGAATCATCCGCTACAACCGTATCATCAGTCTGAATCCCTTCTGGTTTGGCGCAACATACTTGGCCTGGGTGACAAAAATGAATGCCAGTGGATATCAATCGTACCCCGGATGGACCTTCTGGTTTGACAGGACCAGTGAAGAAAGGAGTCATTTTGGCGAGCTGTTCCTCTACGCTAAAGGGTTGCTAAAAGCAGGGGAAGATGTCGACAAATTCGCAAATGCAAAACACCTCCACGAAAGGCTATACAAAAGGATCCTGAAGAAAGCCGAAACGAACAAGAGAATGACCAGTCTAACTGCTGCCTTCGGCTTCAAGCCGTTCCTTAATACTATTCTCCGAGAGATTCTCACCATCATGCACCAGAAGACTTCCCAAGCTACCCATGAAGTCCCTCCTAGTGATATGCTTCACACGCCGACGAACACAACCCACGATACACTTCGCACACGGATGGATACAACCGATGGTAGGCCTCATACGCAAATGAATACGGCTTTCAATATGCTCCACACACGACCAGATACAGCGTACGATCTGCTTCCCCCACGGATGAATACGGCGGCCTAAGGGGCGGATACAGACTCGTCTATAGAATTGAATGATAAAGACGACTAGATTAGTGAACGACTCAGGAGTCTAGATTTAAATACGTAGCGATAGCCATCCGTACTATGCTCTGCTATGCTGATACCTGCCACTCCTACCTCGTCTGCAGCCCTCAAGCTCTCAGAACCTCCCCAATTCTTGCCACCCCCCTGCCGACCACGCACTCGTGCTGAGCGAAGGACCTGGTGATGCGCAGTGCTCTTCGGCTGCTCCCCGCTACCGTCCAAAACTCACATGGATCAGCAACCATGAGTTGTATCTTACTGCTCTTGCAGTCCATTCGGGAACCACTGCTAAGTTAGTGTCCAACCTCCAGGAAGCATGTCCCCCTCCGTCGCGCTCATCACCGGCGCCTCCTCCGGGATAGGCCTGGCGCTCACCCAGCACCTCCTCCATGAGAACTGGCACGTCGTGCTGGCGGACATAAACCCCCCTCCGCCCTCATCATCCCTCCCTAGCGACCGCACCCTCTTCATCCCCTGCGACGTCTCCTGCTGGGACGCCCAAGCCTCCCTCTTCTCCACCGCCTTCGCCTGGCACCAGCGCCTCGACTTCGCAGCGCTGAACGCCGGCATTGACGACCGGGATGACATCTTCCACTCGCTCTCCCGCTCAATAGAATCCCCGTCCTCGAAACCAAACATGAAGACCTTCGAAATCAATCTGCTAGGGGTTTACTACGGCATCAAGCTCTTCGCGCACTACGCCTCCCTCAACCCCGTCCCAGGTGGCAAAATCGTCATCACGGCCTCCGCAGCAGGCCTGTACGCCCTGCCCGCCATCCCGCAGTACAGCGCCGCGAAGCACGGGCTCGTCGGGCTCACGCGTGCGCTCGCGCCACAGGCGGCAGCGCATAATGTCACCATCAATGCCATCTGCCCTGCGATGGTTCAGACGGGCTTGGCGCCGCCGGGGCTCATGGAGGGGTTTCCGGAGGAGCATACGACGCCGATGGCGACGGTGTTGAGGGCGTTTGATGAGCTGATGGATGAGGGGAGGGGGTGGAATGGGCAGGTTGTGGAGGCTGCGCAGGGGGAGTTGTGGTATGGAGAGCAAGCTGAGCCGCTGGGGAGTGCGAGAGAGAGTATGGAGTTTATGGTGAGGGAGAAGGCGGAGTTGTGGGGGGAGGTGTATAGGGAGAGGAATGTGGGGTTTGCGAAGGAGTTTGGGGGGAGGGAGTGAGCGGTAGGTGGGGTTTGGGGGAAAAGGCGTTGCGGCCGGGTCGCCTGTGGCATTGAACAGGTAGGAAGGGGACAAAGGGGAAATGTCTGCATCAGATTAATCCCTTGCCGTGATGGATCTGAACAACCAACGTAGCTGATTTAGGGTATAGGTTGCAAGCCCTTGGGAGCAATAAACTTGGCAGTGGCGGTTCTATGCTGCCGCATAGTTATGGTGCTGGATGCTTGCATAGAGGTGTCATGTTGTCTCCAGCATCGACCCCAATCATCAAGGATATAACCACCAACTGGGCCCGTTTCTCGCGTCAAAGACGCGCAAAGCTGTCCATGGATTGGTTAAGGACGAGAGGAAATCGCAACTACACGGATGAATCTCATTACGAGCTACTAAAGCGTAGGGCGATTTCGCGTGACTCTAATGATTGTTTGGCTTGTTCGACGGCTGGTTCTCGCGCTACCCGATTGATCCAGACACTACCCAAACCCCATTCAGCAAACTCGACCGACCACCATGCCAGTGAGTCAACCCATCGCTCGAAGTTTAAGCCAACTCTACACTATCCAAGCAAGAGCCTAGATGATGAGTCAAAGCCACAACCTCAAGAGCAACAAGAACTCAGCCCAACATGATAGTGGCTAAGAGGACTGACAAAGAGGGGGGAAACAGTGGTATGAATGAGCAAGAGAGAAAGAACAACAGCCCGCCGCGTAACCAGAATCAAAACGTCCACAACGAGTACCAAATATCGAACAAGGAAACGAAAGACCTCGTCTGCGCCAACCCAAACACCCAACAATCCTATACGCCGGTAGTCAAGCGAACGGCCCGCCGCAGACTCAACTCCATCATTTTCGATTCTGTCATCACAACCCTCTCAAGCTCTCCGTGTCATTGATCCCCTCCCACGGCAACTCCTCATCGCTCTCCTCCTCCTCAGACACATGACTCCTAATCGTGACTTTCTTCCCCTTCACCCTCCCCATCCTTTCCCTCACCTCCTCAGGATCAATCCCGACACTCATCAACGTCTCCTCGACCTCCTTCTCCCCCATAACCTCGTCCGCCTGTCCGTCTCCACCAGCATCGCCGGCCGCAGCAGCCGCAGCTTTCTGCCCCTCCAGCACATCATGCAGCGCATAGATCTGATCAGCCTTGACATCATGCGCCTTGAGCAGGGCATCCAGCTCCTCCTGCGCCTTCTTGCGCTTCCGAAGCCCGAGGCTGGGGTCCAGGCCTTGTAGACAAGTCTCCCACGTCGCGATCTCGATCTTGATGTGGTCGAGCTCGTCTTGGAGCTCCTTGATCACCGTCGCGAGAGCCAGGGCTGGGGGCTGCGCGGGCCGCATCGTCGCGTCGACGTCGTCGGGCATGCGGTCCGAGACGGGGACGGGTGTCGGGATGGCGACAGGCTGGGTGGAGGAGCTGTCGCCGCGGTGGCAGACGGTGCAGTTTTTGCGGTCATGCGCCGCATCATGGTGGGCGGAGATGGAGACTTTGCGCTGGTGGAGGGTGATGTCGGGGAGGATGAAGGCGGAGGTCAGTTCTGGGGCTGAGCGTGGCCGGCGAGCGGAGTGGCTGAGAATGGAGTTGGAGGTGTTTTGTTTTGCTTGGGGAGCTGAGGCGTCTTCTTCATCGCTGGAGAGCTGGCTATCGGTGTCGCTCTCAATATTGTTGTTGTGATCGGCAGGTCCAGATTGCTGCGTGTGGTCGTCGACAGGATCGGAACGGCCGGTGAGGTCCTTGAGGGACGACTTGCGCGGCAAGGAGGCCGAGGAACGGATCGTTTCATTTTTCTGCTGCCGCGCCTGTGTTGCTTTGCGCCTGGTAGCGACTCGCTCTTCTTCGAGCGCTCTGCGGATTTTGGCCAGCTCGTCACGGTTTATGGAGCTGAGGTAGGTCAGGTCGGCTGCAGATGTGTCCTCAGCTGGGACATCGTTGGTCACGTTGGTTACTTCGCGTGCGGATCGAGTGGTGCTCTTGGGCCGAATCTCCAGGTCAGTCGTAGACTCAGCATCGCTGAGGTCGTGGCTGACAACTGGCTCAGCGGGGGATGCCGGCACAGGGTCACGTCGTAAGAACTTTGCGTCTTGAGAGGTGGAAGGCCGGAGTGAATGATCTCGCGACTTAGACCTTGATTTCGTCCGGGACTGGGCTGGCGGCTCAGTCTTCGATGGCTTTGCTCCACTTACAGACCGACTGTTTCGAACCTCCAGGTCGACCTTATCAGAGATTCTGGCCTGGGTGTCCTGGCCTACTCGGCCACCAGTCCGCTTCTTGCCATTTGATTTAACGGTCTCGGTTTCCTTGATCGCCTCATCTGCACGAGTCTCGTTCGGAGCGGTGCGTTCATGGTACGCCGGTTGCTTGGACTCCAAAATCTCCTGGTTCAGCTCCCGCTGCTCTCGAAGGGCCGCCTCTTTTCGCTCTATTCTTGACCGTAGCTGTGACTCCTTTTGACCCCATTGTTGCGTCTCGTCATCATGCTGGGCATTCAACTGAGCTAGTTGCACTCGCAGGTCTTCGTTCTCATGGCGCAGGGTAGAGTTGACGTCCTCCTGGGGCATGTCCTGAAACTGTCGGATAGTGTCGTCTCTCTGATCAAGCCTGGCCTGGAACTCGGCTTGCTGGATCTTCGCACGGCGCGCCTCTTCCTCACGCTGAGCTTTTGCTTGAGCGAGTTGTGATTTCAGTCTATCATTCTCAGACTTGAGCTTGTTGTACTCAGCCTTCTGGCGCCTTGTTTCCAGTTCCTTTCGATTCCACTGCTGGGTCTGGTCGTCATGCTGGGCATGAGCACGCGCCAGTTCGGCTCGCAGGGTCTCGTTTTCTCTCTGGAAGCCGTGGTCCTTGCGCTCCATCCGCTTTTGCAGCTGTTGCGTTTCGTCCTCGAAGTAAGCTGCATTTTGCACGAGTTCCGCCCGCAGAGTCTCATTCTCGGAGCGCAGCTCGTCGACTTCGTTTCGCAGATGCTCATTCTCACTCTGTAGTGCTTCTTTCTCTGCCTTAAGCTCCTCGGTAGTGTAGAAGGCTGTGCTCAGCTGGGTTACCAGATTGTCTCGCTCCTGCGTGGCACGCTTTGTAGCAATCTCCGAGACAGATACTTTACGCTCCGCTCGGTCGAGGCGAGTTTGTAAAGAGTGCACAGATGATTCAAGGCCTAGACCCTCTTAGTGTTCTAGCATATCACTAGTCTGAGTGCCGACTTACGCATTTTCTCTATACGCCAGTTCGTCTTTTCTCTCCCGCCCTCAGCATCGGAAGCGCCAAGTGCACTGTCACTGCGTCGCATGTTCTCCTGTGCCGACAGCTCGGCCTTCATATCCGCAACTTCATTTTCGTAGTCCTCGATCTTCTTATCCGATTCGGCCTTCTCTTGCTCTAGCTGCGCGACCTTCTCTTTTAGTAGCTGCAAGGAAGCGAAGATCGCCTTCTCGTCTGCAGGAACAGGTATGCTCTCGACCGCAGAGTAACTCGGCTGGCCACCACCGTTTCGACGGGGGTAGGAATCAGACACGAAGCGCGACCGCGCCTTGGCACTGCGAGAGAAGACCGGTGTTCCATCTTTGTAGACACCGGAGACCAGCTCAGTGAGGTTGGGAAGATCAGGAAGCATAAAGGACTGCGCAGTCACGTTGGCAGGAGTAGCAGCCGCCGCGCGTTGCGGTGTACCTGAGGTGCTGTTAAGAGCAGCGGACGTCTGCCGTGAGCGTGGGTTGCCGAAACGCGTCGTCTTCGCGGTCATGGTGACAGTGGGCGGCCGCTCCAGAGCGACCTCGGCCTCTTCTCCAGATATCCTTGTATGCATCTGAGCCAAGGTCGTCCTGCGACGCTGGGACGCGCCTTTTCCCGGAGACACGCGTTCACCAGCCTTGCTGGACCGCGCCAACATCGCATCAATCTCCTTCTGGCCGAGGGACGAGGCTCGTCTAATCTGAGCGTCGCGTCGCAAATTGCCACGTTCGAAGCCATCGCTCTTTCGTGCAGTAGGTCGTGGCCGAACTGGAGGCGTGGCGGTGACCTCGTAGAGACTGTTGTCTTCAACGCTGAGGAGGATGTTTGGTGACATATCTCGATCGTATCTGTTAGGTGTGCTGCGCGCACTTCCACTCTTCTTCACACCCCGCCCAACCTCGATGGACATGCTGTCCTCTTCGGAAGGACTCGCCGCAGTGAAATCTTGGAAGGCGTCCAGAGCGGAGGTGTTGACGTGATACTCGGGTTTTGGGGGGTTGTAGAACCCAAACTTCTTCGCTGTTGTCCGCATTCCAGGCAGTTGTTGCGTGGCTGTAACGTCTAGTTGTTGGGTCGACTGTAGTAAGTCCTCATTCTGAGAATCGAGGCTAGATAATGTTGGCTGTGCCGGCTCGGAATCGTGGAGCGACTTCGTAGGAGACGGAATCGAAAGACGGCTTGCACTGAGGTCTCGCGACATCTCTCGCATCAGACGCGCTCTACCGCTGCTCGTCGACGAAGCCGCCATATCGAATCGTTGGAGGACGCGCTCAGGCGCGCTATTATTGTGATGCTGAGTTTAGGATTATGCTATGTATCAAGGCAGCATAGCAATCGTATCGTGAAGGAGTGCCTGACTGAGGTGTCTCAACGAGTATCCCAGAAGGCTTCTTGGTCGACAATTGCAGTGACGAGACGCGAATGTCGAGGAGCAGTTGGCGTTTTAGACGTGAGCCGGGGGCCCCGGTCTGTTGTGGTAAACAACGCTACTCTACTCTCAGCCTAGTCCGATCGCCGCACGTGTGCGGCCCTCCATCTCCAGCACCACTACAGCAGAAGTGCAGTCTCGAAGCTTTAATGAAGATGTTACAAGACTCATCGCACATGTCAATAACCCTCCATAAGGTTGAGGACGGAAGAGAGCAGTCTCAACCTCGATTGAGCGCCAATATCTCAAGGCACGCCGCAGATCTGGCAGACTCCACAGCCTTCCAACTAAGAAAGGATAAGGAGAAAGCACAGAACACTCTTCAGACTAAACAGCGCATCCTCTGAAGCGTCGGCTTAGGTGTATCAAGTTTCTCCATAACAAGCAGATATATTGCAAGATATGACGGATAGCTCGTTTGCTACTCCCCTCGTCGGAAACTATGTCTCTAGGCTATCCTCGCTCGAGAAGGGGAGAAGTAAATTCATGATGCATGGTACACGCAGCGGCCCCCGGACGCAAATTATGAGACCATTTAAGGATAAAGAGGACGTCTTCATAGGATAGAAAGTTCTACATCGTATCTGCTGCAATGAATTGTGGAAACTCCTATGTCCGTTCACCTGACCGAATATTAACCATGTAATACGCCGAGCCCTCACATCCTGACACCTCCCAGCCCATCAGCTATCCAAGCAACCAGTCATATCTGTTCTGCGCCATAGAGCCGCCTTACCCATCGTCTCCCAAACTGCTTTCTGTGGTCTACACTAGCAACAGGGAAGCCCGGCAAAGCAAAAGCAATGAAACACCAAGCCCCTCAACCCCCTAACTCCACCACTCCAGCCAAAAGCACAGTTCCCGCCTACCAGCCCTCACGACCTCAACTCTGCCTCCCCAGCACTCCCCCTCACCGTCTTCGTCTTACCCTTCCCCCACTCCGCCCTCCTAACCGGCATATCGGGCCTCCTAAACCCGAATCTGGCCCTCGGAATCCGATCCATCTTCTCCTTAACCGGCGTCTCCATCCTGAGCACTGTCTCGCGATACAGCGTGCCCGTCGCACAATCCAGCGAGCACCCCACCGCGCGCTGCATACCGCCCTCGGCCCCGACCAACAGGAACGCTACGGGAGGCCTCGCAGCCGCGAACAGCGTCACCGTCATCGTGTACGTGTCGATTAGCGTGAAGACTTTCTGCTCGCCTGGCCCGGCCGTCTTGGCCGCGCGCACAAGATCCCTGACGCCTGGGTCACCGCACGGATCATCGCCGACAACATCGCCATATTCGTCTCGGTGGTGCCGGCTCAGCGGCGACCCGAAGGGGGTCCAGCGCAGCCGCTCCAGGCGCCCGCCGAACATTTGGCGCTCGATGCACTCGATGTCAAGATACCCTTCAAGAGCGAACAGCCACGGCTGCGTCTGCCAGAACTTGCCGCTGTAGATCATGCGGATGAGTTTGGGCGCCGCGCCGATAACGCCGACGGAGTAGAGGAACAGCACTGAACCGAAGAAGGCGTTGGTTGGGTTCCCGGCGGCGGATGCGAGCAGGTAGATGGATACGAAGAACATGTAGCCGGCGAAGTGCAGCAATATCTGCGCTATGAACCGGCCCCAGGATGCGCGCCGGAGGTTGCGCACGGTTGCGAAGGACTTCCAGCGGACGTTGGCGGCGAGGGCCCCGTCGAGGATTACAGTGTCGTCGTGACCTACACCGGCGATCTGGCAGGAGGGGTAGATGTCCCAAAGTTTGGCTTTGTAAGCGTCGTCCATCGAGAACCATGGCTGGTTGGGCGTTTGGGGGTAGACGCAGATGAGGCGCTCGAGGAGCATGTCGCTATCGTTTGCAAGGGAAAGTCTGTGTCATGATGTCAGTGATGTTGTTCTGGCTCGTGAAGGCCTCTAGTTTCTGCTTTGTGGTGGGGGCTGGAATCAGGATGAAACCGGTCTGACTCGGTATTACTTCTACTAGTGAGAACAGGCATGATGGGGTTCTGACACCTGACCTACCTAGCAAATGCCTGAAATGCCGAATCGGTACCATCGATAGTGGGCCTAAGCCGCAACAAGCCCATGAGCGCATAAGAGTGGTCGCCAGGCAGATATTCATGTGTCTTCCGGCTATGGAGACACGCCAGGGCAAGGGTCACCAGCTCCAGCCGACTGAGGAGGAGGGTGCCCTCATAGTGATCGACAAGCTGCCGCGATTCAGACGCGTCAGTCCAGACGCGCGCTGCGAACTGGTTCTTTGCCAGCACTTCCGGATGATCCAGGTCCCCTTCGCGGTGGTAGACTTTGATCGCTTGGCCTGCTGGGCTCAGAAGAACCTCGGGGAAGGTCCAGATACGCTCGCCCCACTGGCGTAAGAGCTCCCATGAAGTGGTGAGCTGGGGTCTTGATGCACTCTTTCCGACGGCGATCACCATCGAGTGGGCTCCACGGATGACATCGCTGATGCGGAAAACCTGGTATCGTTTAGCATGATGTGGTTGTAGATAGGAGGACATTCGGAATCCTACATCCTCATGAACTTTCTCTTTCTCCGGCATGCAGCTGCACCCGATCCAGTACGCCGGAAGTCCCGCATCTCTGGCAGCTTTCTCGGCGATGTGATGGAGGTCCTTCATATCCTTCTCATTGTTTCTAAACTGTTCCGCAGTGTAGGCCACAAAAAGATATTCTAAAATCCTTTCGCTCTTATACTTGGAGATCCACTCATCTACAGGCATTGGTGTGACTCCGAGCATCTCCTTCGAGTCCGGCTTTACCAGGAAGCAAAGATGCCGTGGCCGGAGGAGGCGCTCGGCGGTAGGGTCGACGGCTTTGGCAAGCTGATCGGACCGGTGCTTTTCTGGGTCTTCGAGAAGGTTGCGTGCGACCTTTGGGTACCCGTAGTACCGGTAGGGGAAGGCGTCGTATTTTCCTCCGTTGCGCTCTTGGCCGTTGATGTCCGAGGGCAAGCCGAGCTGGATGCTGGTCAGCTAACTGTTCACCCAAGCTCGAGCGCGGTATTCTGAGCCAATTCACATACAATGAATATGAGCGCGAGGCTGGTGGGGATCCATTTGGCTATGATCATGGGCCAGTCATCCTTTGTAGGCTTGCCTCGACGGTAGTCTACGTGATTAGTAGGCCAATTAGCCAGGCGAAGGTGCCACGGGGCAATGTTGCGAACGAATGTTCGCTTCCAAGTGCCGCTGCCTGGGCGGTCGTAGATGTCATCAACTGCCTGCACCATGAGGTCCTTCGGCTTGGCGTCCAAAGGACAGAGATATTTATCGGCTGTTCCAATCTCTGTAATACGCCACATGCTGTCCTTGTGCCGGTGGACCTCCGCGGATAGGTACACGTAACCTTGCTTTTGGTAGAAGTGAGGGAAGCGCAACCATCGAAACCTGGTGTACGGATCGAAGATGTGGTGATAGCCCTTTTGTTTGGTGGCGCGATGTCCCTTGAAGAACGTCAGATTATCATACGTTGTCAAGTGCACTTCTGCCATTGAAAATTACGTACATCGGGGGTACTGCCATCATTGTACTCATCCACTGCCTGCGTGTCGACAACAGGTCCTTTATCCGGCTCCTACGCCACCAGTCATTTAAAGATCACCCACAGAGAAAACGACGAACGCGCACCATTAAGCTGGACTGTGCGGGGGACTGGGTCCGCGCTGGCGTGATGCTCATGCCCGAGTCGTATGACTGATACTGCATCTAAGAGTGTTAGTCAAAACGGCTGCCGATGTACGTTATTAGCTACGAACCGGCTGAGGATACTGCTGCTGGTGTTGAGAGTATGCTGTAGATCCGCCCGAATACTGTCGGTAAGGCTCATGAGAGGGTTCATTATGCGGCCAAGCTGGCATCTGGCTCTGACCCGGTACGTAACCGCCGCCGTGCGATTGAGCGGCCTGCGAATTCCAAGTCAGCCTGGCGACAATTGACTGGTTTGGAGGACAAGAATCGTACGTAGGGGACGCTGTGTCCATGTAATGAGTATACAGGAGAGACGTTTTGCGGCTCCCAGCCTCCACCGTGCATGTTCTGTGGATGTGCCTGCGGTGATGCTTAGTATATGTATCAAAGCGCAACATTGGGTACTCACCATTGTCTTAGCGATCCCTTAGATAGGCGATGCTGTGGTCGGGTCCTTGTAGACGCGCTCACATAGGAGATCTGTGCTTCAGGATAACAACAGTGCAGCTCTGCAGCAGGCTGAGACGGCATCTGAAGCCCTATCTATACCACTCCCCTTTCCCTAACCAGCACCTGCGTAAGGCTGAGCTCGTACACCCAAATAGCTGTAAACCGAGCTTGCCGTCCCTTGGCACGTCAAATGATCCTCACGGCCGCCTGCAGTGGCATTGAGTGGGTGCATACTACCGGAACAGCAAGTAGGAGGCTTTCCCAATGCTCCACTGAGCTCTTGCCGAGATGCACGACTGCCAGATTCTGAATGTCGCGTGCAGACACAGCCATCTCCTGCGGCAGGGCCAGAAGCGAAGCACGCAGATTGCAAACGAAGAAACCCCAATCGCAGATGTTTTTCTGATCGAGCTGAAAGCCATTATGCAGGTGGAAGCATCTTCGGACGATAAAGCCCTGCAGTTGGACAAAGCAAAACGAGCAGAAAACTAAATTCAGCCCTTCGGCGATTCATGCAGCTGCGATTCGATGCCCTTGCAGCCGGGTCAGCATTGTCGGAACTCGGCCAGGAGGGGATGGTCTTGGACAGGAGAGAGGGGACCAACGCTGTTCATTGGAGGGACCCCCATGGAATGGACTCCGTATCTCGACACAGGGCTAGACAAGCTTTAAATAACGCCACCTGGGCAGTGCCCTGGTTCAAGCTCCTGCTTCTTCTGTTGTAAATACGACGTTCCGTCACGTGCGGCACTACCAGCTCTTGCGGAGGAAGGTCGACGGCGAGCCCATACTCACCACGTTCAACGATCAGGAGTGACTGCGTGTTGTCGATTTTCAATCATAGGCCGCTCGGAGCTGAAGCGTGAGAAGGACATCGCCAGCCGAGCTGTCCGCATACTGTATCTTAGCGTAGCCCAGCCTTGCGCCATGATTTTGGCTGCAGCTCGTCTGCCCTACCCGTCGCCCTAAATAAGTTCATGGCCAGAGCTTCCCCTCCCCCATGCCTGCAACAGCAAATGCTCAGCCCCCAAGCCCACTGCATGGCTAAGTGCCTATCGCGGCCGAGTCGAAATGAAAAGATGGTCAGACAACGGTCTTGCACCTCCGACAGGTCCGCCAGTTGATTAATCGCAGCGCCAATACGAACAATGCGAGCCGAGCTGTCTGTGGCTGCATATCCATCTTTACCTACTCTGTGACCTGATAAGGCTGGATATTGGGAGTTGACTCAATAGGTATCAGCCTGCAACCTCCATCATGTGCAAAACCGATGGAGCGCGAAACTCTCCCACTGCTTGAGCGAGCGCCGAGAGAAGTTGTGAACCCTAGTGACTCCTGCGTTTCCGTACTGCAGCATCAGGATAACAAGTTGGATACCATGTGCTCTCTCAGTGATGATCCCACGCGCTTCGACGCATACGAAGTGCTCGCTGGCTTGCCGCTGGCAGACGAGCAGCTGGATCTGCACGTTCTCGAATGGACAAGAGGTAGCTGTCTCCGCTGCCCCATCCGAGGCCATCTCTGACAATACTCTAGGAGATACTCGTGGCTCCCATACTCGACTGAGCCGAGTATCAGAACTCGCAGGTCAATCACATTGTAGCCTCCGGGTCATATTCGCACCTTTAGACCTACCAGACCGCGACCTACTGAAAGGCTTTCTGGCGCTCTTCGAGCACTACTCGATCCCCTCCGCCTTCCTGTCCGAGCGGCTACAATCCGTCGCGCACTCTTTCGGCGCGCGGAAAGACGTCGATGGCACGCAATGTACGCCTTCCCATCCCCCTCCTGATCGCCGCGCTGACGAGACCCCTTCAGACGCCTGGTTCCACTTCATCTGCAAGAACATAAACATCCAGCACACCGGTAGCCAACCTCAAATCGTGAACCAAAACATCCGGCTCGGCAGCAAACCCCAAAGCCAAGCAGATTACAGCTGGCATCGCTCTGGCTTCTTCCTCAAAGCCTCTCAGTGCGCTTCATCGAAGCCGCCGAACGCCTCGCCGTTTGCTGCTCCCGCAGACGACTGCGTGACGCTGATCTGCTTCGGAGCCTCGCCATCGCTGGAGCAGCGCTTCCGGCGGCTGGCGCTGAACTCTACCTGGGAAGACGCGCTGGAGGATCCGTACGTGCTGTTTGATGTTGTGCTGGACGAGCTGTATCTGCAGCTCGACGGGGTTGCGTGGAGCCTTGCCGAGGTCTTTGGCGGGATCGAAGGGGTAAGCCCTCTCTCCTACGCGCAGAGCTCGTTCAGAATGGCCTGAACTGACATCGTCCTAGCGCATCCTCAGCCGCGCCGTCTTCCCCGGCGTCGCGGCCGACAAGATCGATTTCGTCGGCCTGCACAACGTCTCCAAACACATCATCTACGTGCGCGAAGCCGCCGATGCCATGCTGCTGACGCTCGAGAGCCTGAGTACGGCGCACAAGCACGCCGTCAGCGGAAGCAGCGACCCCATCACCACCGCCACCCAGAGCGCCTTCCGCTACCGGCGGACGCTGTTCCAGTCGACGCAGCTGCGCCTCACGAGCCTCGAGAAGCGCATGCAGAACATCATCAGCTTGTCGTTTAACCTCGTGACCCAGCAGGACAGCCGCATCATGCAGAAGGACAGCAGCAGCATGAAGACGATTGCAATCATGACGCTGATTTTCCTGCCTGCGACGACGATCGCGAGTATCTTTGGGAGCCAGTTCTTCACTGCGCCGGCGCGGGACGAGGACGGCGGCGTCGATTTCCGTGTCAGTCCGTACTTTTGGGTGTTTTGGGTCATTTCGGTGCCGGTTACGCTGCTGGTATTGATTCTGTGGAGGGTGTATTATAGGAGGGCGAAGAATGCGCTGATTCATGGCAAGCAGCCTGGGCGGCGGACAGGGACGTGGATGAGCGGGGTGTCGGTTTAGCGGGTCGGAGGGTGCGAGGACTGCATATCTGGTAGGGCGTTTATTGCTGCTCTTCGTCAGGCGCCTTTGATATCAACACAACAAGTTACATGGCGAATGCAAGGGAGAACGCGAGACAATGCGAGTTTAGGAACAGTACTGATCTTTTATAACATCCTACTTAGTTATGTCCATGAGCACGTGTATTGACAGAAGACCATATGCAGAGAATCCTGATGCCAATGCAGACCGAGGAGGAGAGTGTATGACCAAACCGATATGCAGAGACTTAGATAAGTTGAGCAAGTGAAAATAGAGGTATATGACCGTGACACTGGAGAACGTAAAGACAGGGAGTTGCCCTCCGACCCTTGCGCCAAACGCAGCGACCTAATGCCATCGTAAATGCCACAACGCTAGATAGTAAAGAGATTCGTAACATTTAGTGACTCGCATTGAACCTTGCTGGGCATCCAAGGCTCGTACACCAGCATCCGCTAACAGGACAACCTTGCTTACTTCGAAACGGCTTAGCATTCGTACGCCATTACTCAGTGGGAGTGCGAGTGATGTTGGAACAGCATCTTCAAGCCTGACAGCTCCTTCTTTTTGGGCTTCTTCTCCTCCTTGGTTGACTTTGAGCTCTTGGAGCTCTTTGCCGGCTTCGGGTCTTTGCTTTTGCTTTTGCTCTTGCTTTTGCTCTTCGTTGACTTGAGGTCGTCCTCTCGGAGCACGCCTTCGTCGATCAACTGTCGAGAAGCGTGTGGCGTGATAAACTCTCCATCCACGCTGGTGCCAGCGCTATGAGCTTCGACATCAGCGATGCCGCGCCGCCACAGCTCGATCCTGCTGACGTCTGTGTCAATCTCTTGCAACTCTTCGCCACGCATCGGCTCCTCCAGATCGCCCTCCCTCTTCTCTTTGATCTTCTTAATGATCTTGTATCCGCCCAGCGCGACAATAGTCACTCCAACTCCCACACCAGCGGCAATCAAAAACTGCGGACTGGCCAACAGCGCGATCACAGCAGGGAAGCTACCCTTCATAGCCGCCAGAACACCGGGCGCCATCTTGCCCGCCAGGTTGCTTATCTCCGCCAGTGTGAGCGCCACCGCGGCCAGCGCTTCCGGATTCTTCTGCAGATTCTCGATTATGGCGGTCACGGAGTATTGGACGCAGTTCGCTTCGTCGAGCAGCATCGTAAGGGCTGACATCTTTTCGCGCAGTTCTGTCTCTTCTTGGTATCGCTTAACGGGCAGCGGAGGGGGCAGCTCGCCATATGCTAGGTTCATGTCGATGCCCGGTTCTGAGTGCGACCGCGTCGTGCGGTATGATGGCGTGAGCGGAGCATCACCTTCCGTGTGTCGTCGTGTGAGCTCAAGGCGTTGTGTCCTTCCTGTCTCCCTATCGACGTCTAGCTCGTGTCGCAGTCGCGAGGGTCGTTGTGCTCGGCTTCCGTCGTTGGCGTAGAAGCTGTCGCTGTACCCCCGCTCGACCGGCGGCTTCTCGCGCCTTGATCTGCTGCGGCTTGTTGTCTTGGACGCCTTCGACGAGGTTCGCGAATGGGTGTCATCGTTGACGTCGAGGGCCTTTAGCGCCTTCCGCGCCTTCTTCTCTTCGTACTCAGCATTGCGCACCGCTTTGATCTCGGCTTTTCGTTCGCGGTAGGCGGATTTGGCTTCCTTGAAGACGCTGACGAGGTGCTTGCTCTGCACTTTGTTAGCGCTGCTCAGTTTGGATGAAGCAGTAGTAAACTCACTGTGCTGACGACTTTGCCCGACTTATTTACGACCGTAATGGTCTGCCCGAGGGCTATCGGCATGGCGTGTTTTTGTGGGGGGACAACTGCAGCTATAGTGCCGATGTACGTGTCGTGGAACGTGGGTCTGGAGATGCGTATGCAAGGCAGTCTTGCGCAGTGGGGCTAAGTTGTTTGATTGTCGGGATGTGCTGCCTTGGTTGGAGGTGATGGTTGCGCCTGTGAGAGGCGACAGGCGTGGGAGGTTTGTCTGTACAACGACTCTTTGTTCTACTTCACTCGAACATGGCCTTCTTACGATTGAACAAAGAACAATGGAGCCTTCAAAAGCCGTGGAACAAGGTGAGCGTTGTAGGAGTAGCAGAGGCAAGGAGAGAATCTGCTCATGTCATATCGCAGGTCGCCTGCGTTGATCTGTACATTAAAAGACCAGTGACGGACCAGCCAGTCACTGCACAGCCCGCTCTGAGACGTTGGGGGTCTGGACGACGGCCCTCGACGAGTGAGCGGAAGATTGGTGGAGGTGAGTCGCTCTCCGCGCATTCGCAAGCGCAGGCGGGCTGGCTAGAGCGCTGGCGGTTCGTGGCGGCCTGTCATTGATGAATGGTCACTCGCTTCTGCCGTGACAACGATTCGGAAGAGCGCATTACGAGTCAACAAGTAGACGAGGCGCTTGGTTATTGGCAGCATTACAGCGAACCAGAACGCTACGGAAATACAGTCGCTGGCATGAGTGGTCGTCCGCCGGAGCGCGCGAGAGACTGCGCCACAGCCACACAGCCACAGCTCAGCTAGGTACTTTCCGTTCAGACCAGTCTGTCACAGCATGTGCCAATATCGATTTCTCTCTGAGAAGACTGACGGAACTCATTTGTCAGTGTACTCTAGATGGTCTAAGAGGTCCGGCTATGCTCTAGGGACCATTCCGTGCCAGGCCAACGTCTAAGCTTCAACGTTACGGGGAGGGTTGTTGCACTACGCCTCTAGATATAACAACGTCAACGAAGGGGTTGTGTCCAGCTACAGTGCAGTCTGAGAGCGCAGTTCTTAGGGGCAGTTAGCTCTTGAATGTGCTGCTTGCTAGTTTGTGGACCTGGTTTTCAGAGAGTGTGGTGTTGTCTCTGCAGCATGCATCAAGAAGATCATCCCGTTATTCCGTTTGACCTTACGCCGCAAAGCCTTCGCCCGCCCTGCAGTAGGCAACTAGCCTGGAAGCTCTATTCACGGAGCGTTTTACGATAGTTGGTGGTTGAAGCCTGATCGTTTTACTAGATATGGCGCAGGCCGCTTCGCGGAGTCCGTCTGTGGGACGTTGCTGCAGCTGCATAGGTACGGAGTACCGGTGACTGCGTGGGACGTGGCATTCGGCACTGCTGATGTGTGCATGCACGCTATCTGACCGAAAGTCAAACGAACTGAGTCTGCAATGAAAAAGTGAAATATGTCGCCATCCAAAAGCTGGTGCTCGTCAACGCCGAAACAATCTCCAGGGTCGACGCTAAGCGATGACGATGGGCTGTGATTCGTCGGCGGACGCAGGTACAAGCAAGGCGGCTGAAGCTGAAGCACGCACGACCTCGAACTGTAAGAATCTGTACCATGGCTCGGCATGTCTTGTCAACGGTAGGTCAAGTGCTCGATACAATACCGAAGACTGCGAAACCCCAAGGAGTCCACCGCCAGATGTTGTTCGATTGGACATCTTCTCCTCAGGCTGCAGTACCGCCAACCGCCTATCGTGGAAGGACGCTGAAGCGATGGATTGTGGAGGGGGGCGGATGACGCCTCTCCAAATAGTTACTCAGGGCCAAAATGGGCGTGCAGAGGAGGTGAGTCCATGGCGTAGATGTCCGTCGATGCATGCGCTCTGGAGAGCTTCGCGTGTCTATCCCCTTCTAACCCGGACACGAGGTGTTCACTAGAGCCGAGTTTTTACGCTTCTTCGTCCCTTAACGCGGCACTAACATACTCAAACAGGCCTACAATGAAGATGGTAAGTCGTAGATGAGTTGAGATGAGATGAAGTGAGGTTCCAGCGGAAGCGAATGAACCCGCCCCGAAAAGACCCTTGAAACCATTGGATTTCACGTCACCCTTGAAGCAGCAGTCATCGTGTTTGATGTCCGCAATTTCATACCCTCCGAACGTGCCAACTAACGTGGACCGTGCGACAGCTGTTAGACCACAGAATGGTGAAGTGCCAGCGATTGCGAAGGCCACCATGAGCCCGGCCCCAGTTCTGACCCACCGCATGAGACATGACAAGTCTATTCTGGCACTTGTCATATCAGCCGAATACATCTTTGCAGGCACACAAGGTGGAGAGATTCTGGTGAGTTGCAGGGCCCATTAAACGGCACAGATCAGCTAACAAGGATCAGGTCTACTGCTTGGAGACCTATGAGCGCATCAACGTGATCTGCGCTCATCGAGGAAGTGTTCTCGGGGTGTGTCTTTCGAAAGACCAGAAGTTGCTCTTTTCAAGTGCCGGAGACCGTATTGTCAACGTAAGGAAACCTGTCATCAGGACGTCGTGCGCATTTCGCTGAGAATCGTAGGTTTGGGACACCCATACTTTCCTGCAAGTCTACTCAATTTACTCGACCTACGATGTTGGCGATGTGTTTTGCGTATCCCACGCATCGAGCTTGCAGACTGTTTACCTTGGTGCTCAGAACACAAGCATTCAGGTGAGTATCTTGTCTATCATGGATTTGCCTCCATCTGACAATCGCAGTGGTACGATCTTAAAGAGAAGGACACGCGTCCAGAGCCTAAGCCTGCCTCTCACCCTCTGTTTCGCGAGGACAGGTTCTTTGACTCGCCAGGCCCTGGTGGGGTACGGACGCCACGGCCTCAATCCGCCGAAGAGCGCCCAAGACATGCAAGAGGTGGCCAGATCCTCGAGATTGACAAGCAGCACATACGCCAGTTCGCGCATTACGGATATGTCTACTGTATGCTCGTCGCTCGCGGGCTCCTGCCAGACCCGGATGAGGAGATACTCATATCTGGCGGAGGCGACGGAACCATAAAGCTATGGACCCTCGACAGGCAAGCCGGAGGAGCGATTAATGAGTTGTACACGCTGTTTGACGGCAGGGACGAAGGCGAATCCGTTCTAACCATCGCACTTGATGGAACTTTCCTCTACAGCGGTCGCATTGACGGAGAGATCAACGTATGGGATCTTGAAACAAAGCAGCTTGTGAGAAGCCTTAGAACACGTACAGGAGACGTCTTAACCGTGGCCGTGGGTGGTGACCTTCTCTTTGGCGCTGGCGTGAGTGGTGTAGTCGAGGTAAGCCAAGTCTTAGTTGGGAACCCTAGCACATCTAACAACCAGCCAGAAGTTCAATCGCCAGTACGAGAGGATCGGTAGATTCACTGCACATACCGGACGGATCCTAGCATCAGGATTTACACGATATCGTGGCCAACCGCTGCTGATCACCGGCGGGAACGACAACACTCTGGCGGTCTATGACGTCCGTGACTGCATCTCCACGCCATCAGGTTCGAAAGTGTCCAGTGATGGTAAGTCGATCTGCTTTCCCGATTGTTACTTGCTTGCTGACTGTTTTTCAGAGATCCTCGTTCAGTATCTGAAACAGTTCGTCTCATTCCGCACAGTATCTTCCGACCTGCGGTATAAAGCGGATTGCAGAAGAGGCGCTTCATGGCTCCGTCAGATATTCAAGAAATTCGGCGCTGCTACAGAGATGATAGCTACCGAAAACGGATACAACCCAATCATCTTCGCAAAATTCCGAGGCAACCCTACTATCTCGAAAGTCAGGAAGAAGATACTGTTTTACGGCCATTATGATGTTATTCCTGCAGAGAACGAGCAAGGTAAATGGATCGCGGACCCCTTCTCGCTCCAAGGAATCGATGGGTACCTCTATGGGCGTGGAACTTCAGATAACAAGGGCCCGATCATGGCCGCCATTCTTGCTGTCGCCGACCTTGCCGCGGAGCAAGCGCTGGACTCTGATATTATCTTTCTGATTGAAGGAGAGGAAGAATGTGGCTCACGAGGCTTCGCTAGGGCGATCGAGGAAAACAAGAAGCTCGTCGGGGATGTCGACTGGATTCTCCTTGCAAACAGCTACTGGCTTGATGACCACGTACCATGCTTGACCTACGGCCTGCGGGGTGTCATTCACGCGACAGTTTCCGTTGAGAGCAGCCATCCTGATCTCCACAGCGGTGTCGATGGCAGTACGCTGTTAGACGAGTCACTCAAGGATCTAATAGCAGTACTAGCAATGTTGACCGGCACTCACGGCAGCGTCCAGATCCCTGGATTTACCGATCCCATCCTCCCTTTGACGGAGGCGGAGAAGAAGCTGTACGAAGACATCACTCTTACTCTCACCAGGTACAACCCAAGCTTGGGCGACGCCGAGACACTTGCGCAATCGCTTATGCGCAGATGGCGCGAGGCCTCGCTGACGATTCACCGTATACAAACATCTGGCCCAGAGAACTCGACGATCATCCCGAGGCTTGCGCGTGCAGCCCTCTCTATCCGTCTGGTGCCGAAACAAGAGGCCAGTGTTGTCGCCCAAGCTCTGATCAGTTTTCTGGAGGACCACTTTGCCAAACTCGAGTCCCAGAATCGGCTTACAGTCTCCATTGACCACCAAGCCGAGCCGTGGCTTGGCGACTATAACAATGAGATATTCAAGACGCTGGAGCAAGCCATAGTGGAGGTGTGGGGTCCTCTCAAGAGTCGCAGGAGAAGCTCACTTAGCATCTCAAAACACCCTACGCAGCCATCGAACGGCTATTCGAGCTCTAAGCCGTCACCCACAACGTCCTCCACGCTAGCCAACAGTAGCGTCACGCCCCCAAATGAAGATGAAATCTACACGCCAGTGGAAAACACATCCAGCTTTCGCAAGCCGCTGTACATCCGCGAAGGCGGCTCTATTCCCGCTATCCGCTTCCTAGAAAAGGTGTTTGGAGCACCAGCAGCACAGCTGCCTTGCGGTCAGGCGAGCGACAGTGCACACCTCGACAACGAGCGCTTGAGGCTGCTAAACCTGAAAAAGAGCAAGGAGATCTTCAAGAAAGTCTTCAGGGATCTTCCAAAGAAGTGATGTCGATTGCGATATTTGAGCGAGTGGTTTATTTAGCGTATCTAACAGAGTTCGTTCAAGAGGCAGGCGTAAGTGCTTTTCGGCGTAGGTATACCCTCGGTGATAGCAAACGCTACAGCACACAGTTACCTTGTCAGCTGTTCGCATCGTCAAGTTGCTCGGAGTAAGGCTTGGATCGAATTCTACTTCTAGCTACAGCCGCAAACGATTCAGGGCCACAAATTCGTCAACGTACCAGAGTTACATTGAACTTTCATTTCCCGGCCGCCGAACACAATGTAAAGCTCACTCATCTGCACTGTTTTGTAATCGAACATTTCCCACCCTCCCCGTCAATCAATCGACTTCCTTCACGCCCAATGTCGCAGTCCCTCCACAACTCTACCGCAGACACAACGTGAACCTCGCACTTCCACGCTATCCCGCGCTCTGACGTTTCTCATACACCTTGCCAACCATTCAAATCCTCCCATCTCCGACATCTCTACCTCGCAGGTGTACCGTGATGGCCTCCCTCCCCAGCCAACCCACCTAACCGCCCCTAGGAAATACCTCGCCGTCTCCGCGAAGCTCCCCTTATTACAGAATATCTGGTCCACGCACCTGATCTCCGCTCCCGCCGACCCACCTCCAACTAGCCGCAGATCCCAGGACCTGCTCCGCAACCTGAGCACCCCTTGCACCAGCTGGCCGAGCCGGAATCGGGCGACCTATCTCGAGCGCAAGCACTTCTGCGAAAACAGAACAGATCCCATTGGAGCCGCAAGTCGGACAAAAGCCAACTAGCGCACCCAGGTCCAGACTCTGCTCAGCTCAAAAACGCCAACGCAGCCATCTGCGATGTGAGAAGCTGCTGGAACCCCAGCAGCGACGCCGACAGCCTGCAGGATTAGCCATCGCAAGGGTAGCAACGGCGGATCTGACTGACAAGAGCTCTGCTGGGGAGGACACAACGTGCTGTTCAAACGGGCCTGCGGGAGTTGGGGATGACGTAGGGAAGGGGGACTGTTGCGCCTTGGAACTGGCGTGAACGTTGCACCTTGTTGCAAGGCAAGGGCGGGCGGGAGGGATAGACGGTTCAGGTCATGACGGTTGGACAATCGGTGGATAAAAGAGGAGCTTGTAGCACTTTGTGCCGTTGGCGCTGGCTGCTCGAGGATGCGACTGCGGCCTGTAGATGGCGTTGGAGTATATGGGGTGGGGGGGTTCGGAGATTAGTTCGAGCACGCTTAGAGTATTGATATGTGAAGCGTTAGTTGTAAGGGTTGCATTGTGTTGTTGAAGCACTCTTGATCGGGTTTCCATCTCGGCTATGATTGCTCGCACGGCAATTGTGCGCTATTCGGACACTATCACCTAACACTTCATCGTTTCGGCAAGTAATCGAATGACTTTTCGGCTATAAAGTGCTTAATCTCTGCTCCGATTCAAAAGCCCTCAAGCTACATCCCCTCAGTACTCCATCGCCTCCTCGAACAACCCCGTCAACTGTTCCCTCTCCGCCTCCACATTCTGAATATCCAAATTCGGCGCCAACATCAGCACCCTAGCCTGCGGCAGCGTCCCCTCCACCAAGCCTTCCACATGTTCCTTTTTGAAGCCCAGCTCCTTCAAGCCCCTGGGCTGATCCCCTAGCTTCACCAAAAACTCGGCGAGCGCCTCACTCAGCACCTCGCCGGCGCTCTCCTTCTTAACCCCGCTGATGTCGACGCCAAAGCACTCCGCGGCCGCCAAGTGCCGCTCCGGGTTGCTCGCTCCTGTGAACTTGAACACCGCGGGGGCGGTCACGGCCACGCTGACGCCGTGCGGTATGATCGGAGCCTCGACTTCGTAGCCAGGGTGCTTGTATCCCGGATTCTGGCCGCTGATCGGGTAGCTCATGCCATGGCACAGATGCACGCCCGCGTTGCCGAAGCCGACGCCGGCCAGAGTGGCAGCGAGCAGCATCTGGCTCTGCGCCTCTGTGTCGTCCGGATCCCGCACCGCGCGCGGCAAGTACTTGACTGTGCTGCGCAGGGCCTGCAGGCTGAAGATGTCGGAGATGGGGTTCGCGCCTTGGTACGCGGGGCGGTTGATCGGGTTCGTGGGACGGGGAACGCGCTCGTAGTACGGGATTGCGGTCCAGGACTCCAGGCTGTGGCACAGGACGTCGAGGCCGGAGGAGGCGTGTACGGCTGAGGGCATGGTGCGCGTGTTCAGCGGGTCGCAGATCCCCAGTGTGGGCTTCAGGTTGCGGTGCGCGATGCCGGTCTTCGCGCGCTTGGAGACCAGGTCGAAGATCGCGGTACCTGTGGTCTCGGAGCCGGTGCCTGCGGTCGTGGGGACCGCGACGAGGGGGAAGAGCTTACCCGGGATAGGCTTCCCAGCGCCCAAGGGGGCGTTGACGAAGTCGAGGAATTCGGCGTCGGGGAAGGAGGTGTACAGGTTCATAAGCTTGGCGGTGTCGATGACGGAACCGCCGCCTACGGCGAGGAATGCGTCGGGTTGGTAGGGCTTCGCGAAGTCGATGGCTTCTTTGATGCTGCTGTCCTTGGGCTCGACGCGTACGCCGTCGTATATCTGTGTAAGCGTCAGCTTAATTCGAGTTCCCATTGCCTCTGGGGTGTAGGGGACTCACCTGGTATTGCACGCCCTCCTTCTCCAGTCCCTCGACCACCTGCTTCATGGCGTTCAGCTTCCTGACCGTCTTGTCCGTGACAACCATAACCCGCTTCGAGCCCATGTTCTTGAAGTCCATGCCCACTTCCTTCGTGCACCCCGGACCGAACCGTATACTGCTGGCGGCCATCTCGAAGGCATACTCCTTCTGCTGCGAGTGGTCTATCGGCGTTGCTAGACGTCGGGTAGCAGCCTTGACAGTGGAGGGGAGCGAAGAGGGATGGTGATGGTGGTGGGCGGGATTGCTGTGGCATGGACATGAAGGCGGATGGGTGTACTGGATTGTGCGGAGGAGGTTCAGAGCTCTGGTTGCCCGGGTGGGAGCAATGCGAATGGCTGCCATGGTGTCTCAGAGGGGGATCAATGGTCAATGATCGGAGAGGGTATGGTCACGGTGGTCTTGGGGAGTAATTGTAAGAAAGAGAGCTCTGGAGAGAAGGCCGAAGCTGTGTGATAGCCATGGCAAGGGCCTCCATCGTCACGCAGCTCTCGCGAGTGTGGAGCCGAGGGAGAAAGGTCGAGCGGCGACTGCGGGGTCCTGGGTGCTGAAACCACCAGGGCCGCCCATTCGGCTGAATCAGCACTCGTTATTCCCGTCCAGTCTACAGGCATGCCCATATTCGAATACCACAATTTTGAATCTCATTCATATAGCGAGCCGGCACACTACTTCAGACTCCTTGGCGGTTCTGATGGCAATCTCAAAGATCCATACCCAGATGGCGGTGTACGCTACACTATATCGGCATCTAGAGATCGATCCTCATTCTTCAACCATGCAGGGCATTGCTACAGCCGCAGCTGCTTGATAAAAGAGTTTCGATCGAGGCTCAAACGGTGAAAGCACAAGCGTAGACATGATTGGGGTTGACAGAGTGTATTCGAGCTCGGCTCTCGCAGCGGCCAGTTGGGAGTCTTAGAATGATATGATCAACTGGAGCAAGGTGTGAGTACCGTAGATTCCAGCTTTCTAAGACCTGGAATAGCTGCTGCAGAAAGGGGCGGAAAGCAGTGATGCGATAGATGAGGCGCTGCAAATAGCACAGAGGTGCAATCTTGTAAGTGGTAAGCACGCCAGCATTAGTTTCTCCTGTTGACAAGGTCAGAGTCATCATAGAAAATATCCGCCTATGTTGCATGCTGTGGCTGACAGAGGTGACAAGCACTTACAGAAGCTTCCTGCCCGCATCGTGGCTGTATAGTGCGGAAAGCCTTTCAAGAAGAAGGCGACAAGTGTTTACCGGGATCGTAGCACGCTCGGGCATCAAAAATGGGTTTAAAGGCGTGGAACACAATAAAGAGCTGTGAGCATAGAGAATGCACTTTTGTATCTTCTCAGAGGCGCGATATAATTACATGAGTTTTGCGATCCTTTGCTGCGGGTCCATCAAATCTGTAGAGGAGGAAGAGCGCTACCATGAACCCGAATTCCATTACCCTGCCTGCGCAACATTGTCACCATGCTGATCCTTCGGACTCGCTCATCAATGGTCACACCTTACGCGTGATATTTCCAGTCAGTCCTGCCTCGGCCGCTTAAAGCGAGCCATGTTATCCGCGACAATCTTCTCCATCTCGGCTTTCTTTTCTGCGGCTTTTTCAACCTTCAGCTGACAGAGCTCCTCCAGCAAGCGAATGATCCGATCTTTCAGGAGAGTGTTCATTTCCTTCAGAAAACCGATGTGATCCGCCTGCTGAGCAACCCGTGTTTCCAGCACATCTGCATGCCTGTTGAGCGCAGTGAGGGTATACGAAAGGAGGTTGTCCGGGCGTCGCTGGCTGTCCCGATAGATTATCTTCGGAGCGTCGGGATTGGCCTCTTTGGCCACTTTGGCCTCCTCTTTGGCCCTTTCGGCTTCGGTCCTCGCTGGAAAGCTGTAAGTGAAAGCACATTGCTCGTTTGAAGCAGCCGCCTTACCAGTAGATGTCTCTCGAACAGACTGCTCTAGCCCATCATCGCGTCGGCGGACCCGCATCTCAAGCAAGCGGTTCTTACGCTCGACTGTCTTTAGCAGCTTGTCCTTCTCGGCAATGACCTTGTCCTTCTCGGCAATGGCCTTGTGATGTGCTTCTTGCAAGAGATCAACGAGTTGATACCCAGCTGGACTGGAATTCGAATCGTCAAGGAAACGCTTAAGGAGCTCGGCTAACTGATCAAATTGAACTATCGAAGTGAGCAAACTGTCTGCCTCTATGATCTATCAACTTACGCTCTGCTGAGGCGTCTGGTAGGTATCCCGTAGTGTTGGTCTGGTTTGACGGTGCTGCTGCGCTGGAGTGTTCCATTTCGAAGACTTCTTCGTACGGCGCGCTCTTCTGCGCTGCAATGTACAATGGGGAAGATATGTAAGGAAGTCTAGAGACGATGTCAGAAGAAACTTCCTGAAAGCCTGGACCTTCGTGCTTCACTGTGCGTGCCATTTCCTGTGAAGGGAGCCGTGCCAAGATTCGACCGCTTTCATAACTTGCTTCACCCTCTGCTCAAAAGTTAGCACAGATACAGCCAATCAGTGTGAGTAGATCATTAAATCTTCGCTGCTTCAGTGTACGGCCACCTGGTACATGATGCGAGAGCTTGCATTGAGTGACTGGTTCTGCCTACTGCTACTCATAGGCTCCTTCAGCTGAATTATTACAGTTACGTAAGTGAATTGGACACCAAGCGCAGAGATACTGAAGGCACAGATAGAATGGAGGTACAGAAGTGGCAACAGTCTGTAGTGCAGATGTACCAGAAATTGCAGCACGAAAGCGGGAATAGAGCTTTCATGAGATTCCGTCCGATACGTCGTCGGGCGACTGATCTCCCAGGCTTGCAAGCTCTCTGTCCAGTCCCCCGACCTCCCTAGAACCCCAGTTCCTCGGACTCTCTCTCCAGTTCCTCGATCTCTAGCTCAAATTGCTCTACATCATCAGTACCCATCTGCTGAGATGGCTTCCCCTCGGTAAGCTGCTGGTAGAGTTCGTTCAGCGCCTCCATCGGATCAACGTATGGATCTGAGAGATAGCGTTTGACTTGGCGCTTGAGGTCCTCTTTCTCCAGAACGTGTCGGGAGTTGACCTCCACATCCTTCTCATGCAGCTGTTTCCAGTAATGGAAGACCGCAAGCTGAGCTCCTGTGGCGCCGGGTGGCTTTCGATCGAAGGGTTCGAAGACACCGTGTTTGATCATCATAGAATATCCCCACTGCGCTATGAATCGTGAGCAAAACTCAGATACAATCGGTTGTTATGTGAGGCATTGACTCACACAATGTCGACATCGGCGGACCTGTGTCGACTTTCGAGCGTTTCTCCGGTGAACCATCAAGGGCATCGTTTGCGCAGCGCTTCGCGGAATTGCGTACTTTTGGGGGTATGACGTCGATCAGGTTGTTGTAGACTGCCTCGACGTCTTCCGGGAGAAGCCATGGTACGTCGACAAGATCGCCACTCGCCAGTAGGCGGGCCTCCACTTGTGCTTCAAGCTTCTTCCGCACCAGTGGCACGTCTTTGATGAGTAGAGCAATGTCCGTGAGGCCCATCTTCGTCTCTAAAGGCCAGTGCTTCAGTAGCTTCGCTCTGCCGTCTTCGTGCTTCGGCCAAATGAGGGGTGGGACGATGTCACCAGGGTGGCACAGCCAAAGCTTATGGAATTTTGCTTGCATGAATGCATCGTCGAATGGCTGGATGCTCCCTAGGTCGTCGTCGGCGCTCGTCTCATCATCGCGGTTGATTTGTGTGCCGAGTGCATTCATCTCGTTGGTACTCGAAACGGCTGGACTCGATGTGTGCGTTGTAGCCTTGGTGTCGGCCGTTCCTTGAGCTGGCGCCGGCATGGAGGAGATGTCCAGTTCTGTCCGTCCGTTGTAACAAGTTTCTATTGCGGGACACATCCGCAATTGATGCTCTGGTGGTGTTCTGCAACAGGTGGATTCTGGTGGGATTTGCGGGAAGAGAAATCCAATGACATGGTCGCAAGAAAGTGTCTAGGAACGCCCGGACCCCTTCTCTTCACTTTACGTTGACTTTGAGGGTGCGTCAAGTCTTCACGCCCCTCCCGTCTCTTTTAGGTGAAAGCACTTCTTGAACCATCTGAGCATCTGGTCGTGCCGCTGCGAGATCCTTATGAGCCATCTTTTTCCAGACCGCAAAGGTCTCATCGACCGCCGCTCCCTCACTGGATTGAGAGTTGACCCAATGATTTTG